GGTCAATCGAATGCTATCCGATTGGAAGCCGGTCAAAAGTGGTGTACTCCAAGGCACCATCTTAGGCCCTCTGCTCTTCCTTCTCTACGTTAATGAGTTACCACTGTTACTTAGGTCGTCGACATTGTTGTTTGCGAACGATGTAAAAATCTGGAGAACAATAAAAAGTGCGGCTGATCATCTGGATCTTCAAGCTGACTTAGACGATTTAGTTAGATGGGCTCGAGAGTATGGCTTAGAAATCAATGCTAGGAAGAGTGTGCTAATGCACATCGGCCACGGTAATAGTTACCGTTACACTATTGAGGGGTCTTTCTAAACTCCCTTACGATGAGCGTTTAAAACGCCTAAACCTTTTCCCCCGGTCGTATCGTAGGACGCGAGGTGACCTTATACTGGCATTACGTATGTTTAATTATGATTGGGGTGTTAATTTCGTTCCCACACGCTGGACACGCTCAAGGGAGTTAGTATCCTTTACCAGACACGGGCTAGCTGCTTGGATACAGTACTCTAAATATGGTCTTACATATATGGGATATAAAATTCGAAACGTTTCCTCGTCAAAAGATTTGAACACTCGGCGAAATGACCATAACGCACGAAAACCTTTGACAGCGACTGCTTTGCAATGCGTAGTTGTTTTTAAATCATGACTTACTACTACTCCTAAGTCTTTATGCTCTTGAACGCATGGAAGAGGTTTGCCCTCAATAGTGTAACGGTAACTATTACCGTGGCCGATGTGCATTAGCACACTCTTCCTAGCATTGATTTCTAAGCCATACTCTCGAGCCCATCTAACTAAATCGTCTAAGTCAGCTTGAAGATCCAGATGATCAGCCGCACTTTTTATTGTTCTCCAGATTTTTACATCATCCGCAAACAATAATGTCGACGACCTAAGTAACAGTGGTAACTCATTAACGTAGAGAAGGAAGAGCAGTGGGCCTAAGATGGTGCCTTGGAGTACACCACTTTTGACCGGCTTCCAATCGGATAACGTTCCATTGACCCTAACTCTCTGTCTGCAGTCACATAAGAAATTTCCTATCCACTCATGTACAGTATCTATTATTCCGAAGCTCGTGAGCTTCTGCATAAGACCTACATGTGAAACCTTGTCAAATGCTTTGCTAAAATCTATGAATATCACATCGACAGACAGACCGTTATCTAGGGCTGCTGTCCAATCCTCCCTCGCAATAAGCAAGTTAGTCAAGCATGAACGCTTGTTACGAAATCCGTGTTGCTCAGGAGCTAACAGATTGTGTAAATCTATGTGGCTTAGCAACCTAACCCAAATTATCTTTTCGAGTAACTTAACGACTATGCTAGTTAGACTGACAGGCCGGTAGTTAGATACTATCTGTCTCTGACCGTCCTTAAATATAGGACTAACTATAGCGTCCCTCCAATCTCTAGGGAGTTGAGCGAGTGAGAGGGACGTGTTGAAGAGCGTCTCGAGCGGTTTTGAAATAATGTTCGCAAGAAATGACAGCAACCGTGGATGTAACCCGTCAGGGCCCAGTATCTTACCAGGTTTGAGGTTAGTTAGCAACGGAAGGACAGTTTCCTCAGTTCCCTGTACAGATTCAATGGTTGGTATCTCGGTGTGAGTGGGACAAGTATTTGTTACAATAAACGTAGAGAGGACTTCGCTAAAATAGTTTGAAAAAGTCTCAGCTTTTGCTCGATCTGATTCAGCTAGTAATTCTGAATTTTCGTGTAACAATAACGGGGGAATATCATCACGACGTTTCATTCGCCGTTTAACATACGAAAACAACCGTTTCGGACAAGTACGGCTATCACATACTAACTGTCGTTCGTAAGTGGTACGTGGTTTGGCCATGGTTTTCTGACAGATATTACTGAATTTTTGGTACTCACGCTTAAATGGTGCATGACCTGTCAACAAGAATAAGTCCCAGAAATGTTTCCTACGCTTTAACAGCTTCCGGGTTCCCTTATTAATCCATGGAGGGCAATGTGATTCTAAAATGGAATAAAAATCCACCCTTATAGTGAGATTATTCTTTAATATGTTTATCACCATTATGTGACCAGTTTCAGTCAGTCAGTCAATACTAACGTAGAACTTCGTACGTACGTAAATCAGTTCGAGTAGCCACACTACATTAGCACAGAGATGCAGTTGTCGATTCAAATCTCGTAGTGGTAGAGGGATGTACATACGTACGTGTGACCAGATTAGGTGAAAGGCGTATCTCATGAATACATGAACCTTGTGAAGGCTCTTTACTCAAACACTACTAATCGCGTCAGAGATTATGACGAACTGTCACATAATTTCGCAACCTCAAGTGGTGTCCGTCAAGGTTGTCCACTATCTACATTTTTGCTCAAATTCATCTACTGCTGGAAATAACGTTCTCGTCGACTGAATTTTTAGGAATTGGTCTCTTTCCAGGAGGTCTACTTATCGCCTTACTACGCAGATGACATAGTCCTGTTTGGCGAAGACGTTGATGAAATGCAGAGTCTTTTGGTAGCACTGAGCAACAATACCAGGATGTTTAGGATGCGTTTCTCCTCCTCTAAATGCAAGTTGTTGCTCCAGGACTAGCCTGCGTCAACACTTGAACTAAGGATAGAGAGTGTAGTCGAACGCGTCGACAACTTCACTTATCTTGGAAGCCTGATCAGTCCTAATGGGTTGGTGTCTGACGAAATCTCTGCACGAATTCGAAAAGCTCGTTTGGCTTTTGCCAACTTACGTCACCTATGGCGAAGGTGAGATATCCGTCTACAAATTAAAGGACGAGTATACTGCGCGGTAGTTCGTTCTGTTTTACTTTACGGCTGCGGCTGCCACTAAGGGTAGAAGATGCTTGGAAGTTACTAGTATTTAATCACAGATTTCTTAGAAATATTGCTTACATCTGCTGGGATCACTGGGTAAGTAATAGTGAGGTTAGACGTAGAGTGCTGGGGAATGATGGTAAATCAGTTGATGAGGTTGTGGATCTTCATCGACTGAGATGTTTGGGCCACGTATTACGCATACCCAACCACCAACTACCACGACGCGCAATGCTGGCCAGTGTTGAGGATGGTTGGAAGAAAGTTAGGGGCGGCCAAACCAAAACGTGGTATCAATGCTTGAAGTCACTAACTTTTGATGTGAGCCATGTTGGTAGATGCAGACTACTTGGTTGGGGTCCACGTGACTGTCTTAACCGGTGGTTGGAGACTGTGTGAAATGGCTCAGAATCGATCACAATGGTGTCGGTGTGTACACTCTCTGTCCGCCGTTAAACTATGAGATTGAAATTGCTTTATGTCTTTCTTTCTACGAACCAATTCTTTCTTCCTGTACCTTACTCTTATACACAATCCTTTTATATATTGCTACCATTGAAGTGACTACTTCTACGAATTTGGTGTTCATCGCGTTGTGCTAATGAGGCATGACAACTTGGACCAATTCATATGCCTGGTTCTACGTTGTAGCTGACTGACTGAAATGACTAAGTAGACATTTTGTTGCGTTTCTTTTCAATGCACACTGAATCTCTTCAAGGTATGCTGATCTTATTGTCCCTTTTTGTTTGCTTGGGATACTTAAATATAGTGATGGAAATTAGTTTGTTGATGCATATGCACTGGTTGTATGATGTCACATTGAGAAATGATAAGACATATAATCCAATTGTCATTTGTCTATATGTTTATATATATCCAAATCTCCAGACTTTGATTATAAGGCTGTCTGGCGGACAATTGTGAAAATTGTTTTGATGGTGATACAGCTAAAATTATGACTAGGTAGCACAGATACGTTTATTTTCTGTCTCAAACCTTCATATTATTTACATTTTACTTCTTGGCATAGGGGATTTTTGGTCATAGGTAGGAAGAATATTGGCTTACTAACATATGTACTACTTTCATTCCAACGATTGTTTGAAATATACGTATTCGCACTCCACTCTCGTATTTCGTTATTCACTAACGCAATTTAAGTCGACAACTAAATACGAGGGTTGGCCATATGTACATATCGATTGAAATCTTCATGCAGTCCAATTGGGGTCAGATACAGTGCCACTAAACCATGTCAAACTTCACGTTGAGTTTAGACTTATAAATAGTCGCTCATTTTCAAGGTATCTGGTTCACTATTTTGTAGGTTTAAATTGTTGGTAACATTAGCAGGGTAAAAAGTCATTAGGGGGTAGTTACTTTCGTGCTCTGTTGTAATAATTCTCACTACTCCAACTCCATTACTATGAACAAAGCTATTCTATCGTCATTTTCCTGTCTTACTAACTAGAGTGGGAACCAGTTTTGCAAATGTAGATCCGGTATAATCAGTCAGTATACATTAAATTTGTTCATTATATACCAATAAGAAATGATTAGAATATTTAAACGAAGTGATTGTGATTAACTCAAAATATCGTCAAAGTGTATTAGAATTCCGGAATAGTGTTCACATTGAATAATTTACTGTAATGGGGTTTCAACTTTATTGATAATGATTTAATTCTCATAAGTTGCAATTTGAGATCGTATATCCTCAATAGAGATTGCAAGGAAAATGGTTAAAAAAGGAAAAAAAAACAAGTTAGGATAGGAATTACGAGGGCTACTAGTAAGAAATTTTAGTTGTGTTTATTGTCGTAGTATAACATGTCCCATACTATGACATTTGATCTCTTGCTCAGCTTGCTAACTAATTCTATGCGTATTATCAGCAAGGTTGTTATACTACGTTAAACAGCTGATATTGCAATCTGTATTATTGAATAATTTAGAGTAAATGACAGGTAATTTCCGGCTTCGGAAAAATTTATTTGGAAATAAATATTTGATTAAAATGATGAAGTCATTTTTAATACTTCACTATGTGTTTTCTAATAAATTTGTTACAAAGAACTTTTAGTAATGTAAACTATTCGATTGTCTCATACCCTTTAATGTAGCACTAGACAAAATCAATATTCTACTCTTCGTCATTACTGAGTTTTCAGATGGACACTGAGTTAGAAAATGTTTTGGGGAACCTTAATGAAGTATCAAAGCTTCTGTTGAATAAGAGTTTTCAAGAGGTTAGTAAATGCTTTCAATGTTTCCATTAATGTGTTTCAGGTTGTTAATTATTTCGATAAACTTCTGAGATCTGATAAGTCAAATAGATTGAATTCCCTTGAAGCACTTCTAGGTAATGTTTATTTTTGTGACAAAATGGTTTAATATTTTCAGTAGGTGTCAGTAAACATGAGCAGCTGTTAGAGATATATGAGCATGTTGTTGATTTCTTATGGTCAAAAGAGGTGGATACTTCTATTAGACTTATATTTTTTTCATTTCTAAATAATAATGTATGTTGATCTGCCAATTTTAAATGTTTTTTAATCATAGTTAGACTTTCTAGAAGATTGGAAGGTTGAGCGTTTGTGCTTCCGAATGATTCGAAAACTAATCTATGTATGCTCAGAGCCATCACTGTAAGATCATTCCTGTTTATCATTATTCGACAATATTTTAGTTTGTTCGATGTTCTAGCCAGGGCATTAGTGAAGCTGGAAAACTCTAATACTGTTTTAAGTTCAATGGTTGATTCACTTTGTTCTGTAGAGTAAAGACATTTTTTTAAAGAAGATCATAATTTCAGGTGGCACAACGACAATATTATATACTTATTGGATATTTTCAGTAATTATAGCTTACAACAAAAGTCCATGGAAAAGATACTGGAAAAAGCTCTTTCCAAAATTACTTCATGGGAATTAGATAAACGACCAATTTTTATACAAAGTATCCTATTATTTTCTTTCCCGGTTTGTCTAGTTTCCTCTAATGATTATTTTAGTTAGAGATATATGGAATTCCTATTCTTACAACTTACATCACTTATATATGGTAGTAGTAGTTGTCCGCCTGAATCATTTGAAGTTATACGTGGCCAGTTAATGATGAAAATATTCTCATTAGTTAAAGCTAATCAACAGTTTGGAAAAACTATTTTTGAAACTGTCAAGGTATTTTCCCTGTTTAGTTTAATTTTTTTTCCCACAACGGGCTATTAGTGTTTGTCCAAATCATTAACTGGATCGGAGTTCTATTATACCGTTTTAATGACCTTACTCCCTAACCGAAGTACTCAATCTGAAGTAAGTATTCTTAACTATCCTAACACATATGTCTATTCATTTCAGTTAGTCATCTTTTCAGGTATATTGCTACGTTTGTCTGATTAGCATTAAAGTTTGGTTGGTAATGTTAAATAATATTTTGCCGAAAAATACCGAAAGAGCCAAGATAATAGTATATGTAATCATACTGCGAAAGACTAAACATTGAAGAGTATAATTCAAGTGGAAGAAATGAATTCGCGGAGCAAAATATGTGGAATAGTATTGAATATTAAGTCATGTGGCAATTAACAGTAAATTAATCTATTTTACTGTCTAATTCTGACCCATTTCACCGAAGGACTCCATTGATAACACATCTTAACGACCTAAAGACTAGTTGTATAAATACCTTACTGGCGAATATTTAGACACTTTGTGCGTTTATGTAACCCCTGACTCACCATGTCATCAAAGTATAAATCCAATCGTTTCTAGATTCATATGAGCGACCCTAAAGTCCCTAGTGGGGATATATGATGGTAAAGAATATGGATTAACAATCAGGTCTTAACTCATTGTAGAGTGAACGACCTACAAATCTAATTTATTCCAATCGCCTATGATATATAAACATGTTTATTTTTCGTGATGATAATTTTTATATAAGCATGTTATTTTATGAGATAGAATCAAACCCAGCTGTTCTGACTAGTTGTATTGTCTTTGATATTAACTCATTAGGAGGGAATCGCATAAATAATCCAACCTCATGAATTGCCATCGCTCAGCACCCACATCACCATGAGATTTGTAATTGTCGAGTTCAATGATCAGATTCTACTCATTGTCAAGTAGTTCGACTATAGTCGGATATCGGAAAGTATGTCTATGTTCTAGAACGTGTCGAGGGGTGAATATTTGGTCTGTACATCCGTGCCCAGGTCTGAAGCCATCCTATTTTTTTCGGATTTTCTCTTAATGAGCTGTAGTTAAACGTGGAAGTATTATTGAGCTAATATTTTAGACTATATGTTAGTTAAACTGATTCGTCTGTGATTGTCACAGTAGGATTTTTTTCCTTATAGGACTATCAGCGATCGAAACCAATCAGATGGAATTACGTCCAGTTCCTGGATTTTAGTTAAGATCTCTGTTAATCTAGCTGCTAAGACTGGACCGTCGTTCTTAAAAATCTCAGGCGTTAGTCTGTCGGGCCCTGCCGCTCTCCATCGCTTTAGATTGTCTATAGGCTTTTTAACCTCACTTAAAGTTGAAGGACTTACACTAATTTACCATTCAGGTTGCTTGGAAATCGTAGGTAACTTAAGTGTAACTGAAGGTCAGTTGAACTGTCCCCTAAAGCATTCTGCCAATTGGTCCAATTTAGTGGATCGAGTGAATATTGGTCCCATCTTTGTCCGAGAAAGTCTCACTAACAGCCGGATAAGTGTGAATAATAATAGGTAATAACCTATCGCCTCTGCCGTTTTCATCTCTTCTGATTCCTCTATTCACCATTAATCAATATCATTGTGTAGGCTGAACCAGATTTATGGATGTCACTTTCATTATATATAGCAATTTAATCCGAAAAAATTAATTTATAAATGTAAATTACACCATAAATTGCTTATTGAAATAGAAAACTGACCTATATTAGACAACCGTTGGAAAACAGAGCGGGGTTCATCAGTAGTGCGCACCCACGATTCCGCACATGGAAACCGGACCCCTAGGTCTCGCGCCTGAATACTTAACCTATAGACCACTGAGTCGTTATTTGGTGGTGTACAAGTCTAATTCCAATAAATATACGATATTGTGCGACCATCTGCGTTTGTTAGTTAGATACGATGAATAATGCAATCCGAAGTCATCTGAAAACATAAATCGTAAGTTCTTATATAAAACTTTGTTAAGTATACTTTCATATTTCATTTCCCTCACTCTTGTTTGTTCCTACTTTTTTCTCAAATTAGTATTCCAGTCTGTGACAACTGTCTTTTAGCGAGATACTCTTGTTCCTTAACATGTATTATAGGATCAGTGTGCTTCTCATGCAGATCTATTAAACTTAAGAACTGTGTACTGCGATATATCCTTGCGAGGCAGGTTACGAATAGTGCTTTTGTCGACGTAATTCATAAATATAGTGAAAGCTCGCCCTTAACTGTCTTATCAAGCTATGTATACTTAATAGTGATGTAATTTCTCGTACATCTTAAATCAACAACTTTTTGTGAATGTGTGAAGAGATTAAATTTTCTTATTTTTCCTGTGCTCATTATTTTTATCTACCATATTTTTATAAAGGCCACTCAATTACTGACTACTTCTATTTTAACGGGATTTTCTGATAGTCACTTGGTGTTAGAGTCGTCGTTTCTTCGTGACTTATGCCGACTACCGGATGATCCTAAAGAAATTATCCTCAAACTTAGTGAACACTGGTAAATTTACATAGCAATATATATATATATATATATATATATATATATATATATATATATAGTCTGTTGAATTTATCAATGTCTGCTTTTTACGAAGATCTGACATTAGAAAATTTCGGGGTATCATGGAATCTTGTCTTTTTCTGCTTACTTTTAATTTTGGGGAAATGTGTTCTTGCTGATTATCCGATCAGTTTGAATTTATGCAGCCATATTGGTTTCGTTTGGACTGGTTCGGATATATTCACTTCGATGAGCGATTTAAATGGTCCTGTTATCTAGTATCAACCACTGTCGGAGGTAGTGATCATAATCCAATTAATTTTACCGTCTTGAAACACCGGTTTCATCTGCTTAGACATTTGCTACGAATATCATTCCAACAGCTTCCACGTAGTGCATTGTTTGCCGACTCTGAGACAAGTTGGAAAAAAGCAGAGGTGGTGAGTTTATTGCTTGGGATCATGCTATTAAAGAAAGCTGTGTGAGACTGGGATCTGTCGGCCTGCTTCAGTCTGAGCACCCAGGAAGTATCACAACCCACACACAAATCAAGTGACTTGTGTTGCGCATATGTGTTCGGTGCTCCTTTGTACCAATATTTGTGTACAATTAAATGAAAAACAAAAGTCGGCCCATTACGACTCTGGTTTGGGTTCGAAAGATGGTGCGATTCAGTGACTTGAGACGTTACCAGACATGTCTCAAACCAAATCAATTGCGACCCTGCTGTAATATTCTCTTACATTCTTCATAAATGTGAGAGAAATTTCTTTCATCGAAGGAATTCCGAATTTTTTCGTTCGTATTGTTAAGTGAATTGTTTCCCCTACACTGTTCTTGTTAATTGCTTTGTCTATTTATTACTTCTCCATTCTCCTCAAATATACTCAATTTTCCCCACAATGTTGTTTATACTTTGTGTGGAGCATTCTATTGATGTCAAATTATGTGAGATTTTGTGCTTCAGTAAAATGATAAAGTCACTTTGTCATCCGTAACTTAGAACGTGACACATGTGCATCAGTTTAAGTTGTCAGGCCAGAGATGAAATTATCAAAAGAAATGCTGGAGTATTCGGTGTAGTAATGGTGTCAGTGGTATTAAAAAAATTAGGCATAAGGAATATTATAAATAAAAATAATATATTTGTAACAATTAACCCAATGCTCAATTTATTCGAAATAAGGAATATTGTTTGGGAAGAAGAACTGGACTCATGTAATAAAGAATGCAAGATCGTTTTCAAACTCAAGATCTAGGGGAAGACAATAAGTGAATGCATTTGCTTCATTGATACCAATTCTGAACCGTGTCACTCAGTCTCCAACCGTTGTCGATAATAATCGCTTGAATCCCAACTAGGCAATCTACAGTTATCGAAATGACTCAGTCCACACAGTCAATAACCTCATGAACTGATGTCATGTCTTAGCTTAGACGCCCTTGGAGTTCTATAGCAAACATCACTCATCGTGTTATCTAACGCTTCAGCTATAAAATTGTAGCCGGGATAGGATAAGCACCAATGTTTCGAAATCATGGATACCATTGTATGTATACAAAGTAAATCCTTTATATTGAAATATTTTCAATGCTTAGCACTTCAAAACAATGGGAGTTTACTGTTCAAGGAATGATCTTACTTGGTTTTACTCTTCTTCGAGCTGCATGTTCATCTTCAACCGGTTCTACAGTTAATAAATCAAGTGGACGTTTGTCAAAGTCACTATCAACTTCACCTTTTCAAACTTATGACACATTAAAATCACGTATTTTATGCTCTGGCTTAGATTTACTTCTGCATATTTTCAAGGTTAGTTACTTTGCCTTTTTCATGCTGCTACTCTTTTATTCTTAGTATCACGCTACTCAGATGTTCAATTGTTTTACCCATAATATTTAGTCTTTGCATTGTATAAAATTATCGTAGATTGGACACTAAGTAAACTTAATAATAAATTGGTATTATTACTATCACTATCATTGTTGTAATTGTTTCATTAATTAGGTTCCTGGTGAGTAATGAATTTTTTACTTTGTAATTAAGACAACACGACCTTCAGCAACTGAGCTCCACTTACTTTAACGTTTCAGGACCTCACAAAAAGTATTACTCGAGATCGAGTATAAAAACGCCTGCCTGGTAAACGAGTTTCATCACTATTATTAATACTTAATGATTAACTACTTCATTCCATTTTCCCTGGAGCCCTTCTAGGGTTACTATCGGTCCCAAACCCGGATAGAGGGGGAGGATTGGGCATATGGCCAGTAACCCCATCATGTAGAAAACGACCTTGCGAAAAAAATCACTCGGTCAGCTACAACGTAGAACCAGGCATATGAATTGGTCCAAGTTGTCATGCCTCACTAGCACAACGCGATGAACACCAAATTCATAGAAGTAGTCACTTCAATGGTAGCAATATATAAAAGGATTGTGTATAAGAGTAAGGTACAGGAAGAAAGAATTGGTTCGTAGAAAGAAAGACATAAAGCAATTTTAATCTCATAGTTTAACGGCGGACAGAGAGTTTACACACCGACACCATTGTGATCGATTCTGAGCCACTTCACACAGTCTCCAACCACCGGTTACGACAGTCACGTGACTTCAAACATTGATACCACGTTTTGGTTTGGCCTCCCCTAACTTTCTTCCAACCATCCCCAACACCGGTTAGCGTTGCACGTCGTGGTAATCGGTGTTTAGGTATACGGAAAGTGCCAACCAAAAAATCATTTCAACCGTTTAAACTCTGCCCTGGGTGTTAAAGGGTCTGTGTTTGAAGGACTTATGACGCCTCATGACAAGAGTCGAGACTCTTCGGGAATCGCGAGGCCGATGACCCTCCTGACAATCAGAACAAAAATTACCTCAATACATGGAATATCCGCACAATATGGAAGATAGGGAGGACTATTCAAGTGTCTGAGGAAATGAAAAGGTATAACATGGATGTATTTAGAATAAGTGAAACCCATTGCACGCTAGCCTGACTGAAACGATTACCTTTGGAAGAGTTGCTGTTGTACTCAGGCCATGATAAAGAAACTTCCTTGCACACAAGGAGTTGCACTGATGTTGTTTAAAGAAGCACGAAAAGCCCTTATAGGATGGAAACTTCATGGATCCAAGATCATCAAAGCATCCTTCAAAACAAAGAAGGATGGAATCACAATGAATATTACCCAGTGCTATGCACTCGCCAATGATAGCCATGGATACGATGATCATGTATATATATCAATAAACTTATCAACTCTTGCATAGGATTAAATGATTTGTATCACCTTACCGTTTTGCATATATCATTATTGTCCTAACGTCCGATATATGACATGGTCGTTTACATATAAATGATGATCCAGATAAGATTGCAACGTAAATTTATCGTCAGAATCTTTAGTTAACCTCCCTTTCTTTTTTATCTAACTCACAAACTTGGCCGTTTTTCTCGGGATACCTAAACTCAGCATTGTCCTTGTTCACGAGATGAAATTATTACAATAATTGCAAATATTATATGGAGTGAATCAAGTCGATCTATAGCTCTTTATGCATTAGGTGAGCTCTATGCTACTGTTGTTAGTTATTTGTTAATCAGTTTCAAGATATTGTTTTAATTATGTCGATTTTTCTACTTAATTCTTAACTAGGCTGAAATAATTTTTGTAGATTGTATTCTCCATAGATTGATCTCAGTCGGGGTACCATAGAAAATCATAAAGCTTTGGTCTGCTGTTTCACCCTAACATAAAGCGCCTGAGCAATCGCCATTCACAGCCGCGCCAGTGACCGAACCTCAGGCCTTTAAGTCTTGCTAGGGTCATTCTCCATTGGCACAATATTGACTTCAGTCTATTAACAACATAGCTGACGGTCATCCAATACTATTAGTGTTAAGTGTCTCATTTCCAACTTGTTTGAACTTTGCTATTTATGACTTTTTCTAAGTATTAATTCGTCTGCTATAAAACTGTCCTCAAGCTAAAGAACAATCTATTGCTTATCTCAGTAACTTACTTGTAAATAGTTCTGTTAATGTTCTAATGAGAGAGTGTAGTCGAACGAGGGCAAGCCAAATAAGTTCAAAATGAAGAAGAGGCTTGTTTATCATTAAGATGAGATGATACTTGAGGTTCTCTGATCATTAAGTGGATCATTGGTTTTAGATCCAGCATTCTTTGAATTGTCATAATCAGCGTTCATCTAGGATATCTCTACAAAGCAAACCTCAGAGATTTATGTCTCATTGAATATTTTATTACCGCTTACCTTTTGAATTGGAACAGTTTTTCAGCGTTCTCTAATAGTTAACATTTGTCTGTTTCATTTTATTCATTTAATGAATAAATTTACCTGAAAAAATAATGGTATCAAAGGTTTCTGCTGATCACTATCAACCAAAGAGTATGTTATATATTGTAATATCAAATTATTAAGCTCTAATTACTTGAGATGTTAATTTTATGGATGTATAATTTAATCAACATTAATGACTAAACAGTATAATCGATTTAGTATTAACGCTAATAAATCCTTCAATTGTTAGTGAATCTCATTAAATTTTACTGAACAATTTCAAGTTCCAGTAAGATGTAATCGGTGTAATTTGCCAGAATTATGAAAGTTTTTCTTATGATCACTTTGTAATGACTTCATTTCAATCTGAATACTGGTTTATGTTTATTATAACTTAATTATGACGTAATAAGCCTTATTTTGATTTTTGTATCGTCATAGCTTGAATATCTTAGTGGTTTTGGTTACCTCTTTTTTTCAAACCCCCAAAAAATTATGATGAATCGAGTGAACTTCACGTAGTTAACTATTTCTCTCAAAAATCTATCCATACTGTCTTGTTAAACAGTTTACTTTTCATTATATTAAATCTTTCAAAAAAATCGTCGTTTCGTCTTCTGCTTTTCCAGATCTTCTAAGTAATTTGGTCGCTGTATTCCCTTTGGAGGTAGCAATTCGAGCTAATCGTTTAGATTCAATCATTGATTCAATCGGGCTAATACCATTATCGATTTCAACTGCATTAGTACATGCTTTATTACCATTGATACGTGCTGGTAGTTTATTAGAAATAGGAAATAATGTCGATAGTGAAAAAAGTGACAATCCGTTTGGTCAAGTTCGTATGCGAATAATAAGTAATTTGTGCAAAGCTGCTCAATCACCAAGGATACCTAGTCGATGCACAGCGGTAGCTTGTTTAATACTTTTATTAAAACATTTAAAAGTGAGTTGTTGTATACCATTAAATACAATTCTGTTTTTTATTTGAGAATAAAATAGCCTAAATTATTTCCTGTAATTGTTGAATTATCTTGCATCAACCTCAGAATTCTCAAAGGATAGGGGAATAGATATCTGTAGAAACTTGTTCCATGAGGTTAGGTATATTAATTTATTCCGTTTAAAAATCAGGTTTTATATGTAACTTAAGTACTTTATGCTATGATAAATATTATTTACACAAATGGAAATATCAACACAAGTGTAGATGTAACGCATCACTCTTCAAACGAAGATATCTTATTTCCCTAATAACTGTTGATCCATCCCCAAACTATTAAGATGAAAAAAATTTAAAGGCTTATTCCCTACTACAGTTGATGTTGACGTACGGGAAAACATGTGTTTATTTATATATGTTTTCTATGTATTCTTGGACATTAGCTATTCAAAATGCGAGTGTCGTTGGGTCTAATTGAATAAAACGTGGTTAGTGTTAAATTTTAGAATGACAGTTATCTAAACATCTTTTCTTTCGTTGATTGTGGTTGAATGCTCGGAAGGTAATAAATTTTCCTACACTTCGTAACTGTTCACTTTAATCCTAATTAAGAAATGACTGAATGTCCTCCAGCACTGCTACAATCAAACACCGAAGAGTTGATCATTTGTTTTTGTTTGTTTAAATAAATAAATTCCACTTATAATTTTATTTTGATTTAAATCATTTATTAAACATACAAATATATATTCAGCTTTATCTTTGCCAAGCATATTTAGTGTCTGTTTGACTCCAGTATGATAAATTATAGTTATATTAATGTCGTTATAAAACGTTTAGAAAAACTGGATATCAAAAGTTGAGCATAAATGTTTTGAGGTACATGAATTTTATACATTCGCTAATGCAAATAGACAATAATGGGATAAGAAGCGGGAAATACAAATGTCCCCAGTTTTTTTAGTTATGATATATGTAAGTAGATACATAGACACACATGTGCATTATACACCCCCAAGGTCATATACATAAATAACAGGACTAAAAAGATTCGAGTAATTCACCCTCCAAAATGTTGGGATAAATGACGTAAACCCTTAAAAATACAAATTATTTATTTATTTAAACACAAACATTAGTACAAGGAGGCACCAAATATATGTGCTCCACACTTCGTCATTCGATGTGTGTGGGGGCTGGGATACCGCCCGGACGCCCAAACCGAAACGGGTGGTTTTATTAGGGGGCCACTTCCCGAACCTTTGACCTAGAGGTCTAATCCGCAAGGTAGTAGGGCAACGTCAGGAGGTGAAGTCCCACGGTAGCTGGTGACCGACAATGGGTTCATACGCCACTTTATACCCTCAGGATTGTGGAGCCCATGTGCACCACTGGCTGGGGATCAGGGTTTTCCAACTTCCTTAGGTGGGTCCTCCATATTCACCGACCCAGTCAAAGCTCTGGACATTCGGTTTTCGTTTTCTCAATTTCGTAAACAACACCACCACTTGAAGGCAGTGAGTAGGACTTACATGACAGTGTCTGTATACTTGTGGCCATGTGAGTATTTAGAAAGGGAGAGCTGACTCTCCCTACCCTCGACCGTATCAGGGCATTTAGAGTTCAGCAATACTAATTACTACAAGTATTATCCAACCACTTAAACAAATGTACGTGGGAAGTGCTTAAACCTGTGACTTTATTGGTTGAAGCGAGTAATTTAGTCATTTATTAGCTGTCCCATTAGAGTGAGTATTCGGATAGGGTCATTTTTTTATAAAATTTTGAAGTACCTGTTAGCCTTTCACGTTAAAGTGAAGTCTCAATGCTATAAGGATAAAAAAGATACGTGTGTTTTGTTAGACTCTTCTGTTCCTGACTGTTGAAGATTTTTGTGTCCGGGTTTTTATCACGTGATTTATCCGCCGATGACGTTCGACCAGTATGAACAGCCTAACGTCCTTGTTGGTCCTATGTTCTAGCCTGTCCAGTTGAGTCCAGAACATCAATACCAGCTCCCACTATGCGATTCGTTTATTTCAAACATACTTGGTTTATATATCAGACAAGCAGACCTCATCACACTATAAAATAAGATTTATACATAATAAAGCCAAAATGTGGCTGTGAACGTGGGAGATGGTAATTAATAAACTGAACATAATTTAGGAACAGTAGATCGTGTGATAATAATCTATAGGTCAAAATGAAGCTTATGATAAGGGAAATATATATGCATAATCTAGTTACTGAACGGTCATACAATAAGAATATATATATAATATTAGCCCATTAATAGATCTGAGAAGTTATCCGTAATTTAATCTTCACTAGGATATAACAATGATCTTTTGTTTAGGTGCCAGTATCAGCATTTCGTTCAGCGTCACAACGTTCTTCATCATCAAGTTCACTATCACAACCGTTTGTTTATTCACAATCTCAAGCAACACAAAGAAATCCATTAGTGTTATTTAGTCAGTTACAATCGACACAGGTAAATTATTTTAATTATTAGTTACCTTACTGTGTAATTATGATTTGAATTTTTCATTTTTAAATATTACTAAATGTCGTAAATGATTAAGAATCATTAATATTTGAGCTAGAAGCAGATCTTTTGTAGAAGATCAGCATAATTTATACACTTCAGAGCTGCTCACAGAGGTGAGCTTAAGTGCTGTTAAAGATATGAAGACAACTGTCACTTCGTGGTTGCCCTCACTATGGAAGGATACTTCTTTAGATATCTGTAAGTAAAACTGGATTACTGGTGGTCTTAGATTCGTGGGAAGGTAACTCCATGGTCTAAAAGAGAACTATATGAGGTCGGTCACACGTAGCCTTTGTGTCAGTGATTTTAGATGTGTTAAATCCGTATTTCAAAAGACCTTACTGTCAGAGACGAAAATCCGTCGCGTAAAGTGAGATGTGCTATTTTTAAAGTCGACCACTTTCTAACCTTTTCCGTTGAGAAAACAGCATTTCTAGGGATTCTTGTTGTCCAAGACAAAACACCCCATTGCCTTCACACTTCGATACAGTAAGCATTACGTCTCCACCTTTGGACCATGGGTTTACTACATTTAGTTTTTGATCTATTCAACTAACCCGGGTGGTATAGTAGGATCTAAAGAAACAAATTTCCCAGCCAATATAGTTTGACTGGGTCATAACGATGCACAAGCCCAACCATCGCGTCAAGATAGCAGAATAGTCATGTACGTTCGTCCAGTTGTTTGAGGTGATACTTCTAAATGACTATGCTCAAAGAGTTTAATTGTGTAAACAAACTCAGTCCCGAATAAGCAAGGACGATAATATTTTCAGAATATATGGTTGGACGCGTCGGTAAAAATAAATAGCTTCCTTGTGCTAGTTTTGGGGTCTGTGTGATCTCACCTTAATACAGGAGAGCAATTGTATTGATAAAATCTAAGTATTTATCGCTGAATCTAAATTGTCTATCTAGTACCACTTACCACCATGACTCAGACTAGAAGTTAATGACTTCAAACATTGATACCACGTTTTGGTTTGGCCGCCCCTAACTTTCTTCCAACCATCCTCAACACTGGCCAGCATTTCGCGTCGTGGTAGTTGGTGGTCGGGTATACGCAATTCCGCGCCCAAACATCTCAGTCGATGAAGATCCACAACCTCATCAACTGATTTACCATCATTCCCCAGCACTCTACGTCTAACCTCACTATTACTTACCCAGTGATCCCAGCAGATGTAAGCAATATTTCTAAGAAATCTGTGATTAAATACTAGTAACTTCCAAGCATCTTCTACCCTTAGTGGCAGCCGCAGCCGTAAAGTAAAACAGAACGAACTACCGCGCAGTATACTCGTCCTTTAATTTGTAGACGGATATCTCACCTTCGCCATAGGTGACGTAAGTTGGCAAAAGCCAAACGAGCTTTTCGAATTCGTGCAGAGATTTCGTCAGACACCAACCCATTAGGACTGATCAGGCTTCCAAGATAAGTGAAGTTGTCGACGCGTTCGACTACACTCTCTATCCTTAGTTCAAGTGTTGACGCAGGCTAGTCCTGGAGCAACAACTTGCATTTAGAGGAGGAGAAACGCATCCTAAACATCCTGGTATTGTTGCTCAGTGCTACCAAAAGACTCTGCATTTCATCAACGTCTTCGCCAAACAGGACTATGTCATCTGCGTAGTAAGGCGATAAGTAGACCTCCTGGAAAGAGACCAATTCCTAAAAATTCAGTCGACGAGAACGTTATTTCCAGCAGTAGATGAATTTGAGCAAAAATGTAGATAGTGGACAACCTTGACGGACACCACTTGAGGTTGCGAAATTAGGTGACAGTTCGTCATAATCTCTGACTCGACTAGTAGTGTTTGAGTAAAGAGCCTTCACAAGGTTCATGTACTCCTGAAATACGCCTTTCAGTGGTAGACACTGCCACAGTACCACTCGGTCTACAGAGTCGATTGATGCTTTTAGGTCAAGAAAAACTACCATTGTCGGACGTCGATAAGCATGCCTGTTTTCTGGAACCTGACGAATTGTGAATATGTGATCGAGGCAGCCACGACTAGATCTGAATCCAGCCTGGTTTTCTCGTGTTTGCAGTCCACGAATCTTTGTTAGACGCCCGATAATTATTAAGACTAGTATTTTAGTTGATTTATTAGTCAAACTAGTCCCTCAATGGTTATCTCAGGATGATTTGGATCCCTTCTTATATATATTGGGACCCTTAACTATTGTTGACCTTGAATGCAGTTTCGCAAACTCAGTCGCTCAATAGCCAGAATAGAAAATAACACAGCGGACAGGTAACTAATCATACAGTTCGAATTTAGGCATTACTCATGCAGTGATATAGAGTAAAATCCTGACCATACATCAATTTACTTACGAAATTGTAATTTTGATATAACTGCGCTGTAAGTTGAAGAGGACAGAGTGATAGATTCGTAATAAATTAACCATACGTTGGGAAAGGTAAAGCACACAAAAAGAGTTTATGCGTCAAACAAAAGCTTACATGTAGTGGAATTCAATAATTTAAGTATTTTGTTATTACACAATAAATCTTTGAACAGTAATTTCATGTAGGACAGTTTAGGGAGTCCAAATATACCAGGAATTTGTTCCTCAATAGCATACATTAATTAACTGGTTGCATTTATTTACTTTCCCTGAAGTTTAAAAGACAGAATAAATAAATTGAAAGCATTTAGTCCCTTTGATGAATTTCAATAATGTAATAAGAAGACGATATATTGCGGCAATACATTTCGAACAATGTTATCACACATACTTGTTAAGAACATTTATATATAAAGATAAAAGGTCAACTAGACTGAAAATGGGAGTACGAGGAGACGATGATAATAATAAGAGTAATAATAATAATGTGGACACAATTTGAAACCTAATCACTCTGGATAATAATAAGCCAATATTACCAGGGTAGGATTAAGGTGAGAACAAACTGTTTTTGAATACACAAAGGGGGTTTGAATTTTCGTATGGTTAAGGCTTCAATAAACCTCAGTAGCTAAGTGGATAACGCGATGGCGTTTGAAGCGGACGGTACTGGGCTCGAGTCCCGGAGTGAACATCAACTCTGCGATGCAGGTACGTCCAGCTGACGAGTCTCAAATAGGACGAAACGTGCATTCTGGATTCCACCGCTAGCCACTATTCATCTTTGCTTAAAAAGCTTGTGACTTAAGGCTATATCGAGGCACTCTGAACATATTATTACTATTATTATTATTATTATTATTATTATTATTATTATTATTATTATTATTATTATTATTATTATTATTATTATTAGTGGCTTTAATTAATATTATATTTTGGTACAAAATAGAATTCTCAGCACAGGGTATTTCAACAAGTTACCTACGCAAGAAAAACAAAGACAAAAAAAGGAAAAAAACGTTTTAAAAAAACCCGAAAAACTGTACAACTTTTAAAATTAGAGACATGTTAAGAATGCAGGTTATTGACGCTAGGTTAACTCTAACAACCTGTTCGTCACAGAGTGTATTTGCTAGGTAAGGTATTATAGAACTTTTATACTTTTGCTTGCGTGCATGGATTTTAATGTAATTACGTCTCGTTCTACCAGAAGATATACAAGGAGAAAGATAAGAGTGAAGGGGATGTTTAGTATCTGATAAAATAACACCTGCCAGGAGTTTGCATGACTTTAGATGTCTATCCACAACCATGTTAATTATGACCTCGAAAGATCCACTACACATCTTGCTAACTGCCTTCAGCACTCTCCGTAATACAGTAAGGTCTTTTCCCAAAAGCCCGGGAAAGAATAATGGAGAACAGTAAAGAATAATAGGTAATATGCTAGAATTGACAAATTGTAAGAGTAAATGACGAGTAATCCCAAGAGCATGCAATCTCTTTATGTAGTAAGTCAGACGGAAAACCTTCTTCGATAACAATAAAACGTGGGAAGACCAAGAGAGATCAGAGGAAAGGGTGACACCAAGATAATTGACCTTCGACACTGTGTTTATCAAAGAGTCTCCAATGGCACAAGTATTATGGGATCTCAAAATGGTGTTTAGGTTCCGTTCATGTCTCATGCTAAAGTTAACAGCTTGACATTTAGACGGATTAAGTAAGAGACCATTACCAACAGATCAACAATCGATACGAGACAAGAAGTCATTCATTTCTATGGGATGTGAAGAGGAAGAGATAGGCATACATACAGTGAGATCATCCGCATATTTCACAAAAGTGTTTTCTGTGGAAGATGGCAGATCATGCAGAAAAAAAGAGAAAAGAGGTGAAAGAACAGCTCCTTGTGGTACACCTCCATGGGACAGTAGAGACTCGGAACACTTTCCTCCGAATACAGTGTACTGTTCCCTTCCAGAGAGGTAGGAACATAGCCAGTTGGTTATCCAGCTGTCATTGATGACGCTGACTAACTTGTTAATTAAACATTGTCTTGGTATAGAACCAAAAGCTGAAGTATAGTCCAGAAAAGCGCATCGAACATACTTCTTACGCTTTTCTATGTTGAACACTATGTAGTGTAGATTCTTAGCACCAATGAATTTAGTATTTTACGCAACCATCATCCAACGCTAGTTGTGGGTGATTGCTTCGCATGTTACATGATTAAAGTCCACTGGTAACTGCTTCTCACTAGAACTCCGGAAATTATATTTTAGAATTATTCACCAGTATACGTATGTCTCGATCTTATTTTATTTATTTATTTTGATACATAAATATTGGTACAAGGAGGCACCAAATACACACGCGCTACACAAATCTCATTTGATATGTGTGAGGGATGTGCTACTTCCCGGGTGCCCAAACCGAAGCAGGTGGTTTTCTTAGGGGGCCACACCCGGAGCCTTCGACCTGAAGGTCTGATCCTGTGCTCCCTTTGTCCACAGGTTTAAAAAATAGCTGTGTTCCTAGTTTTACTGAAACTGATGTCCGAAGATGTTTCCAGTCACTTAATTCATCCCGATGTTTGGGACCTGATGGTATCCCAAACCTCCTCTTTAAAAATGTGCTGACGTCCTATGTTATCCATTCACGACTATCTTTAACAAATCCTTCTCATCTAATCTCATACCGAAAATGTGGAGAAAGATGAAGATAATCCCTGTACCCAAGAAAGTATCTGGTGATAAGAATGTAAAATTTAGAGCTATTGCAATAACTTCACCCTTCCTCAAAACAATGGAAAAATTGTTAATGCTTCCAATTCAGCCTGCGGTAAAAGAGCATTTTGATCCGTATCAGTTTGTTTACAGATGCAAAAGAAGCACCTTAGATGCTGTTGTTATTCTGCATCACAATATAGTGTTCAACTTAGAAAAGGGTAAGAAGTATGTTCGATGCGCTTTTCTGGACTATACTTCAGCTTTTGGTTCTATACCAAGACAATGTTTAATTAACAAGTTAGTCAGCGTCATCACTGACAGCTGGATAACCAACTGGCTATGTTCCTACCTCTCTGGAAGGAAACAGTACACTGTATTCGGAGGAAAGTGTTCCGAGTCTCTACTGTCCCATGGAGGTGTACCACAAGGAGCTGTTCTTTCACCTCTTTTCTCTTTTTCTGCATGATCTGCCATCTTCCACAGAAAACACTTTTGTGAAATATGCGGATGATCTCACTGTATGTATGCCTATCTCTTCCTCTTCACATCCCATAGAAATGAATGACTTCTTGTCTCGTATCGATTGTTGATCTGTTGGTAATGGTCTCTTACTTAATCCGTCTAAATGTCAAGCTGTTAACTTTAGCATGAGACATGAACGGAACCTAAACACCATTTTGAGATCCCATAATACTTGTGCCATTGGAGACTCTTTGATAAACACAGTGTCGAAGGTCAATTATCTTGGTGTCACCCTTTCCTCTGATCTCTCTTGGTCTTCCCACGTTTTATTGTTATCGAAGAAGGTTTTCCGTCTGACTTACTACATAAAGAGATTGCATGCTCTTGGGATTACTCGTCATTTACTCTTACAATTTGTCAATTCTAGCATATTACCTATTATTCTTTACTGTTCTCCATTATTCTTTCCCGGGCTTTTGGGAAAAGACCTTACTGTATTACGGAGAGTGCTGAAGGCAGTTAGCAAGATGTGTAGTGGATCTTTCGAGGTCATAATTAACATGGTTGTGGATAGACATCTAAAGTCATGCAAACTCCTGGCAGGTGTTATTTTATCAGATACTAAACATCCCCTTCACTCTTATCTTTCTCCTTGTATATCTTCTGGTAGAACGAGACGTAATTACATTAAAATCCATGCACGCAAGCAAAAGTATAAAAGTTCTATAATACCTTACCTAGCAAATACACTCTGTGACGAACAGGTTGTTAGAGTTAACCTAGCGTCAATAACCTGCATTCTTAACATGTCTCTAATTTTAAAAGTTGTACAGTTTTTCGGGTTTTTTTAAAACGTTTTTTTCCTTTTTTTGTCTTTGTTTTTCTTGCGTAGGTAACTTGTTGAAATACCCTGTGCTGAGAATTCTATTTTGTACCAAAATATAATATTAATTAAAGCCACTAATAATAATAATAATAATAATAATAATAATAATAATAATAATAATAATAATAATAATATGTTCAGAGTGCCTCGATATAGCCTTAAGTCACAAGCTTTTTAAGCAAAGATGAATAGTGGCTAGCGGTGGAATCCAGAATGCACGTTTCGTCCTATTTGAGACTCGTCAGCTGGACGTACCTGCATCGCAGAGTTGATGTTCACTCCGGGACTCGAGCCCAGTACCGTCCGCTTCAAACGCCATCGCGTTATCCACTTAGCTACTGAGGTTTATTGAAGCCTTAACCATACGAAAATTCAAACCCCCTTTGTGTATTCAAAAACAGTTTGTTCTCACCTTAATCCTACCCTGGTAATATTGGCTTATTATTATCCAGAGTGATTAGGTTTCAAATTGTGTCCACATTATTATTATTACTCTTATTATTATCATCGTCTCCTCGTACTCCCATTTTCAGTCTAGTTGACCTTTTATCTTTATATATAAATGTTCTTAACAAGTATGTGTGATAACATTGTTGGAAATGTATTGGTATAATGTATTTCACAGTTCTGATAATCTTCTTTTTATTACATTATGAAAGTGAGTGATTTCCTTGATTGATATTGATGTTTGTCGACTGAATTTGGATGAAGTAGTGTTGTCGCGATTTCTTGTTTTCTGTTGAAGGTATTTGTACAGTTTGATCTCAGTTGGGACTCTGTTAAAATCAGGAAATATTTGCCAACTAACTGCGTTGTTCTTTTATATTTCTCCTGACCGTCTGTCATCCACATGTGTAGTGAATTATTGGTGACCAGTGGGATTGGATGATTGTCGCGTTGTATGGTAGATTGATTTATACTGGAAATATGTACCACGAGGCACTGACTCTGTGCTAACAATGAATTACTCATTGTGATACCTTAAGTCCCTTTGTTGATATTTGGGTGGTCGTGGGTGCGGACTATTATGTATTATGACACTAGAATTAAACAGCTTTTCAATATTTCCTGGTTTTTGAGTGCACCCAAAATGATATCAGTGCATGACGAATACCATGACAAAATGTCTTAGCATACTTAAAAATTAAATAGATTGTATTTTGTGTACATTCGGGGTTATATATTATTGATAACTTAATTAGTTCAGATATGGTTGGTGCTTCACTCTGAACCCTAAACACAAATATTTTCATCTACCCGTTTATCTTTGGTACTTTTGTCTTTTTGTTTCTCTCTACCTATTTGGTGTTCTCTTTTAGATTGCTCAACAAGCTGTCTTATTACCATGTGATATTGTACAAAATGAAGTTTTGTGCACAGAAATAATCAGCATACTTCATCGTATTATATTTTCAGCATTTTTTCGTTCTCAACCAGGCAGTCTATTAGCAGATCCAGAGAATATCGTTAAGTCTAATATATACTGGGTAAGTTTCGTACGCTAATTATTTTTTTGAGTTGGATTTCAACATTATTTACTAATAAGTAATGCCATTAATAATGGGTCTTAAAATTTTAATTTTGAACAGACTTTTAATTTAACTGTATTTTAAGTCACTGGAGTACAAAAGCTAAAGTTGATTTGTGGTGTTATATTTTATCAATCCCTAAGAATCTAGTTCGGTAATGTAACGTTGACAGCCGTAAGCGACTAGATAAAGCACACAAAGTTGTTTCTAGTCGGAAAAATTCATGGATATGAACCAGCAGCCTATTAGTTAAAACACTCATCTCAAACAATGGGTTCGAACCCATCTCCAATTACCTAGGTTTGGCTGGTCGGGTAGTATCACTATCCGTCACACAACAGTACGACTTATAAGGTCGAAACTTCTCCCCAATATAGTACTTGTATTTTATTATTATTTATTTATTTGAACACAAATATTGGTACAAGAGAGCGCCACTATATATGCGCCACACATATATATTTATAGTACATGTAAACTTGTAGAAACTTGTCAGTTGAAAGGTAGTCCTTGATGATCTTATCAATCTATAAAGTCGCCAACTGCTGATGTCGGCAGATTTCAATTGTTGGAAAGGGATGGTGATATTACTGAAAATCAGTCACAATTGTCCAGAAGTATTTACTTTAAATCGCAATCTTCAAAATCCTGAACATTTTATCGCCCTCCCACTTATTGTTATGTCTAACTACTACATACTATTTTACTCTTCAGCTAGTTCGAACTCTCCATTATTATTGCACGAATCAGCGACTATCTGAATTCAATAGCTAAGTGGATAATGCGATTGCGTTTAAAGCAAACGGCACTGAGTTCGAGTCTCTGAGTGGACATCAGCTCTGGGATCCAGATGTATCCAATTAACGAGTCCCAAATAAGACGATACTCACATTATCTTTCATTGGGTTTTAACACTTGACGTTCTTATATACTTTACGAATTGATTTTTTTAAATTGTATATTACATTAATAATGTTACTGGTTTGTAGGCAAATCTTTTGCTTTAATTTGGGATTTTATAAATGACACAATCGTTTTTTCTGAATCCTCGAGCACATTAAATACTTAGTTCAATTCATATATTCCATCAATATTCCTAATCAAGTTTAACGTTCATATAAAGTTAGATTTTAAAGGACTCAACTGTTCGATTTGAAGTTATTTTTAAAAAGATCGTAAGTTGTTATCAGTCAGTCAACTGTAATGTAGTACCTGTACGTATGTACATCGGTTCAAGTTACCATAATCCATTAGCACAGAGAGATGGAATATTCAGACCGAATCCTAGAATAGTAGAGGTATTAACAGTTTCAGTCGTAACAGGGAAGATTAGGCATCGAATATACAATTCTCAGAAATGTAAATCAGTGAGATGAAAAGGAGATTTTGGAGCTTAGAATTTCGGAGAGGGAAAAGAATAGTGTTTTATCCAAAGAAGATTAAATAAATGGCAACTTCCAGGACTTTTTCATAGACTATTATTATATGCATCCTTTTTGTAACTATATATATCCTTAATCATACACTTTCATTTGACCTATTGGCCACTATTATCTGATCTACCATTCCTAATTTATTCTCAATCCATTGGTTACAATCTCTCATACTCACAACCATTTTCGGCTTTCTTTTGTATGATAATTATTTTTCATTTTACGGTGTGATGCGGTCTGGTCTGCTTGTATATAAACCACGCATGTCTGAAATATATTATTCATACAGTGTAGGCGAATATTGTGTTCTAGACTCAATAGGCCGGGTCAGGCGAAAAGTAACTAGATCAAGAACCAATAAGAATTCAGAGTTGACTCATGGCTGCTAGTGCTGGCTGAGGTGTCATTGGTTTAGCACAGGGACACAAGGTCTGAAAAGTCGATATTCTGATTGGCGATTTTTGTCGCGTGATATTTGACAGGGGCATAAGACATAACAAATGTATGGGACAAATTAATATCAGCTGGAAAACTATTGAAAACTAAGAAACACTAAACAACTACTCTTTACCTCTCAACCCTTTCTACTATCTGGTATCAGTCAGTAACCGAAACTAACATTTATGTAATTATGGTTATCATTGTCGGGATATTTCAAATAACACCAATTTCTGATCATATTATATTACGTTTACCAATTTTCTTAAAAACAACTTGATTTTTTCTCTTCTCAGGGTCTATGCGAAGTTGTTACACGTAATCGAGGTCTGTGTGAACCTGTCTTAAATTTATATTTACGTCTTCTTACTGGTTGTTTAGAGCCGAATTTTCTGAAAACATTGAAGCGGTCTAGTGTACAAAACTCAGTGAATTCACTGCCTACACAAATGAATCCGTCAAATGTTGATTTTATTCATAGTCCACCATTTATTTTAAATAAATTAATTGATCAAAATTCTGTCGGTAATGAAATTCTGCGTACTGAACATCCCGTAAGTGGCCAATACACAAACATAATCAGTGTCTTTAATAGATTTTGTAGCACGAAGGATTGGTGGAATTAATTAATGAACAGCAATCACTTTTTTATGTAAATTATTTTCCTAGTATTAGTCATGTTTTGTCCTGTGTGTTAGATTGTTTATTTACGTATCTTTGATTGTTGTGGACAGTATCATCAGCGTCCGCTGCATATGGAAGTGAACCTCGTAATAATTCTACAAATGGTAAATCAGTTGTTCTGATGGTGTTGTTTATGTTCGATTATCTTCGTAGATTTTGTTGTTTTAATTTATTCTTGCATCCATTTTGACTGTCTTTCATGTTGATTGATTGACATCTTCTGTATAGGTTGATAGATTGATTCTTTGTTGATGTATCTACTTATTGCCAATTGATCTGAATATCATACTAGTAAAACTTGTCTGTGAGTTCCCCTGATTTTCGTATTTCGGGATTTTTATAGTCGAATTTCATGTCCATAGTTGTTCACGTCCATTGATATCAATGGTAACATAAAATATTATCTCACTACTAGTTTATATTAATATGTTGCATAAGTGGTTATGTTCAAGCGTTTTTCTTTGAAATTTCAACTATATAGAATTCTATACAGTACTGTCAAATAGTTGATATGAAAATCATTCAATCATAGTAAACTCAAGCTTGCAACAATTAAGCCCAAGTATTCAGCGGTGTCGTAACGGCTAAAACAAAACACTTCAATTTTTTTCCAGTTGAATACTATCATTGTCACTCTCGCACACACAAAAACTATATACTTGGTTAATGATCTAAGTCAATTTGGTAATAACTTTGCCTGGAGGGTGATAAAATTGACCACAAGGTTTATCAAAAGGTTATAGAGAGTAGATGAATTCTGATTTACTATAGCTTGGCCTATCTGTTGTGTCTGGGTGGTTGCTGCTGATATATTCGTGTATCATCACTCTTAATTTACGTGTCGACTCTATTGAGTTCGTGCTCTTACTGATTTACTTGACAACCGGTAACTACTACGATTCTTACGACGGAAAATACGAACTTGAAAGACTGGTGTAATGACGAATAATTGACTCCGATAAAAACACTTCCAAACAAATCCCAAAATCATATTGTCATTAGACCGAAATACAATCGTTTATGTACTAATTTTTACAGTCAATAATATCAGATATCGAGTAACCGTAAAAACACACACTGAATATAGTTCATCTGAATTGATCCAGGCAATATAGTTGTCGCATTAAATGAGGTTCATACTTGTCACCTTGCCCAGAATTCATAAAGAATTGATCCCAAAAATATTGACAAAATTCATGTCATCTTTTTATCCCGTCATATCACTCTCATATGTTTACAAATACATATTTATTTCAATGGTTAAGATCATGAGTCAGTTGAAACTAGACCACCATGGAAAACCTGGAAGCACTGGACGGCCGTTTCGTCCTATTGTGGGTCTCCTCAGTAGTGCGCACCCACGACCTCTCCCCCTACGAGATCCGAACCCAGGACCTACAGGTTTCGCGCGCGAGCACTTGAACATTAGACCACTGAGCCGGTATCCAACGGTGTTAATGTTTAACTTCAACTAATCCACGAAATTGAGCGATACATCTACCATTGTCTTTAGTGAGTTACTATATCACTGGTCACTACTTCTCACTAGAACTCCAGGATATACCTCTTGAAGCCATTCACTAGTTAGATTTCCTCTCAAAGCTAGTCACCTGATAATTATCAGTATCAGGGTTGGGATTTTTGAATTTTGTTGAGATTCAGAACCACTGTTATGCTAAGAATTTTCACCATAACCAAACATTATTGGATAAAGAGAGTGGTATTATTGTTATTATTAGTAGTATTCATTTTTCTTTGATATCTTTGGTGATTTCGGCAATCCGTTTAGTTATCATCTCGTCATCATGCTTCTTTCCCCTTTTTCTCACTCTTTTCTTTTTAGGATATTTTAATTTGGTGTCTACAACTCATCTTGACTTTACCAATATTTAATTTATCCTGGAAGCGGTTACATTCTCGTGAGACTTCCAATAGTGGAAGTGAATTATCACAAATTTCTTCTGATTTATCCAGTGAAACTGCTAGTCAGTTTACACAATCCACATTAAACAATTCCATACAATGCGGTCGTTTGGTTACTTATCCTTTATTCTCGAAAGCGGTTAATTTACTGATTTCCATATCAGACTCACTGCGCCTTTTGTCAAAAGAAGATTTTGGGCTGGTAATAATACTGCTTTATATATGTATATATATCCATTTATGAGTAGTAATTTCCGTCAATGCTCATAACAAACCTGTTCTTTGGGTGTTTGCATAAGGCCATTTTATTAGAGATCTGTTGAGTTTTAAGGAAAAGATCCTTATTTTCAACCAACCGTTGTATGTTTTTTAAGCAAAACTGCATTGTCTATTTGCAATCTCTATAGTGATGGTTCAGGATTTGAAAATAGCTCAGTAGACTCTCTCTGTCCAATTTTAGGTTACTGGTTTGAATAGCTGTTGTGTTATGATCAGAAATTGTGATGTGCCGAGTAATCGTTAGTTTTCTCCTTTGACTATGGGCTAAAGCTGAACAGTTTTAAGTTGGTACATGTTTGTTTCAGATGCCACATTTTGTTTAAATAATGTCTGCAAGGATAAGGGATAAATGCTTCATTTAATAAGCACAATAACTACCCAAGATAAAGGAACTGCAGAGTTTTTCCATATGTCGTGTGGCGATAATTCATCAAAAGAGTAACACTTTGAGTAGATCAAACTGGTCATTATGGTCTATGAAGACTAGAAGGGGTATCCAAATCCAAAATAGTTGTCAACTTCTCATATTAATAGAAACGTTTACGGTCACTTGCACTTTCCCACTGTTGATTCACTGTTTGATTTATCCCTGAAGTGCGAAACTAGGGAAAATCTGTGTACACGACCACAATAAAATATTTGGGGCTGATAGTGACATGGAAACCAAAGGCTCAAACTTCTGAGAAGTTCTGCAAATGTTTTGAACTATAAAAATAAAGGTAAGACGGGTGTTTGACCACAAATAAACAATATTTCTTAGAGAGGTAAGATTTCTGCACCGTAAAATTTGAGAAATAAGTTTTCCATGTATGTATAGAACAGACGACTTACTGTATTACAGTATGATTAGTTTGACTCAAAAGTGTAGGACGATAAAGTTTTTATTTATTTATTTAAACATATAAACATTGGTACAAGGAGGTACTGAAAATATACGCGTTGGGCTTCGTCATTCGATTTGTGTGAGGGCTGGAATACTGCTGGGGCGCTCGAACCGAAATAGATGGTGTTCTTAGAGGGTGTTGTAACGTGGGTCTGCTGCAGATTGAAGGTTAGCGAATTATCGATCGATCAAAAGACGCGCAAAACACGTAAGAACGACATAGAGTCCTGATTGGCCCTGCTTCCCTATCTATCCCAGCTAGTTGAGTCCAGAACGCAAGTCAGCCTCTGAGATATGAATCATTATATTTCAGACATACTCTGTTTATATACCAATCAAACGGACCACATCGTACCATAAAATAGAAAACAACATTTGTACAATATTTGACAAGTGAAATTAATATTGACCAATAGGAAATGTCCATTTAATGTCCAAGGACACCATTAGACTTAACAGGATAATTATTGGGATATTTTTCTGAATATCCCAACACGTCCCTTTTTTGAAGATCTGGAGTTGATATTCGGATTTTAAAACTTTCCCCGAACATCCTCCGCGAAATAATGTTGGGTCCTCATAAACCCAAACTACAATTAATTTGACTGCATTTAAAACATATTGAACAGGGAATCCAGTAAGACTGATCAGATAGTGAGGATAAATGCTATTCAATTCGAAGTCATCAGAGTTTGAATCTTCTGGAACATTGTCGTCGAATTTCTTGAAAATCTCATTAGTAGGTAGTTGATCACTGGGATAATCAGCGTGTGACAAAACTGAACCAGGATCTTGACTATTATTTGGTGCATGTGACATATTTTCTGGCAAAACGAAGGGATCTTCCTGTGGGCTGGATACCTCACTGTCTGTACATGTTTCGGGGACAGTGGGATTTGAACCCACGACAGGGCATGTTTCTGAATAGGACAGTGAGCTGGAAAATGATTGCAGCCTCCATGAATCTTCGACAAATCGTTTTTCAAACGACACAGCAGCCATTCATGATCCGCTCAGTGGTCCAGAAATGTCCAATTCAGAAACATGCCCTGTCGTGGGTTCAAATCCCACTGTCCCCGAAACATGTACAGACAGTGAGGTATCCAGCCCACAGGAAGATCCCTTCGTTTTGCCAGAAAATATGTCACATGCACCAAATAATAGTCAAGATCCTGGTTCAGTTTTGTCACACGCTGATTATCCCAGTGATCAACTACCTACTAATGAGATTTTCAAGAAATTCGACGACAATGTTCCAGAAGATTCAAACTCTGATGACTTCGAATTGAATAGCATTTATCCTCACTATCTGATCAGTCTTACTGGATTCCCTGTTCGATATGTTTTAAATGCAGTCAAATTAATTGTAGTTTGGGTTTATGAGGACCCAACATTATTTCGCGGAGGATGTTCGGGGAAAGTTTTAAAATCCGAATATCAACTCCAGATCTTCAAAAAAGGGACGTGTTGGGATATTCAGAAAAATATCCCAATAATTATCCTGTTAAGTCTAATGGTGTCCTTGGACATTAAATGGACATTTCCTATTGGTCAATATTAATTTCACTTGTCAAATATTGTACAAATGTTGTTTTCTATTTTATGGTACGATGTGGTCTGTTTGATTGGTATATAAACAGAGTATGTCTGAAATATAATGATTCATATCTCAGAGGCTGACTTGCGTTCTGGACTCAACTAGCTGGGATAGATAGGGAAGCAGGGCCAATCAGGACTCTATGTCGTTCTTACGTGTTTTGCGCGTCTTTTGATCGATCGATAATTCGCTAACCTCCAATCTGCAGCAGACCCACGTTACAACAGAGGGCCACACCCGAAGCCTTTGAACTAAAGCTCTAATCTGTAAGGCAGTAGAACAACGTTAGTAGATGCAGTCTCGTGCTAGTCAGCGACCACCAATAGGTTTTTACCCTATTTGTTCCCTAAGGATCCTTGAGCCCATGTACACTACTGGTTTGTAATTAGGGTTTTCTAACTCTGCTATGTGGGTCCTCTATATGCATCAACCCGGTTAAAGCTCCGGACCCCCACCTGCTATAGACAATGAGTAGGACTTCCATGACAGTGTCTTTATACTTGTGGCCATGTGAGGGCACTTGGATAGGGAGAGTTGACTCTCCCCACCCTCGACCGTACCAGGGAATCCTGGGGTTGGAATATTTACATTTTGATTTCTATCGTATAAACTTGTGACTAATTCTCTATTCCACAAGATTTATTCTGTTTACATCTATCAATCTCAAGTTTTAAACTCGATTACAATAATAATTTTTCGAAAATATCAGAAACTAGTAATATTTATTGATTCAGACTGAAGCGATATACATACAGTTGTCTAATTAGTAAACGTCTTTTCACAATGTTTCAGACAACAGAAACTGATTTTAGCTCATCAGCTGTTGGGAAACTAAATCGTGATCGTGTTCATCTGCTTATCAATATTTATGATGCGTGTTTAGAATTCGAATTGAAAGATCCGTTAGGCTGCGGTGTAACACATATCAATAGTAATAATAATCTTCAATCACAATTTACCAATCAAAAGTGAGTTTTTCTTAATGTTTATTCGAAATAATAGGATTTAACGTGGACTATGTATCTGTGTGGTTGATTTAAAATTATATGTATAGTTTTGGTCAGCATTCTTCAATTTCTACTACGCTTTAAAATTCGAACAGTCAATTAATAGTCTTTCACAGTTGTGTTCAAAAGTCTAATCATTAGGAGTTGCATTATAATTGTTAATTTCAGATAGAATATCGATGATGATGGCGATAGATTACTCATTTATAGTTAGTTACTCATTGCGTTTCGTATAGTGAAGAAGGCTATGTTTTTATAGCGCTAACACATTTTACTGTATTATTTTAGGTGAAATATTGTTACATAGATACGCTAACATTGACGACAACATTTGCTAATATGGTTGTCTCTGTTTTGGATATCCTGTGTATGCATCAATGTTAGCAAATGAAACAGTTAAGTGAATCGATCCCTCCATTTACGTTAAGAGTCTCATCAATCCTTAAGTGCTGGTGTTTGTTGAAATCTCGACATGGATTCAGAAAACTCGGTTGGCTTTTGGTACCTTGCGTCACTTATGGTGTAGGTAAGATATCCATCTAACAGCCAAAGGAGTTTACCACGAGTTCTCTCCATTCTACTTTATGGATGCGAAGTATGGCTATTAAGATTAGATATTCTTAGAATACTAGTATTCTATCACAAGTGTCTTTAAAGCATCGCTCATATATTCTGGGGCCATTAAGTTTGAACATAGGATAGTAGATAAATTTGGCAGATCGACTGATATGGTAGTGGATCTTCATCAGATGAGGTGATTGAGACATATATTATGTATGTTCAACCGTTGCCTACCTCGACGGGCAGTGTTGTCTGGTCTGGGAGTAGGTCTAAAAAGGGTCGGGCGGCCAAAAGAAGGTGTAGCGCCAGTTTATGAAGACACCGAATTTTGGACTGAGCCATGTTAATAGGTGCAAACTGTCTGGTTAGGATCTGCGTGATTATCGTAACCGATAGTTTGAGACTGTTGAAATCTGTTGAAATAGTACAATTGCATTTGCTTGTTTTAGAATCTGACTCCCTAAATCTTCTTGTATTTTTGTTTCTTCTCTCTTTTTCTACACGTAGTGTTTTCTACTACTACTAATAATGTTACTACTCTTAATACCATAGGATTTATTTTGAAATAATTTTATCTTACTGAGTGCTTTTTGTATTCACAAAGTTAATGATTTAGGAAGGATATTAGTCGCCACTCGTACATAGATAGTAATACTTGTTAAAAGTGATAATTCGTCGGTTGTTGACCATAATAATCATTAATATTCTTGTGTTGTTCCTTTGTACTATTTAAACTTGAATTTGATTTGATTTGGTTATTTTATTCTCTGAAGAAGTGGCTTACATTGAGTCACGAAACGTCAGAAAATTTAATTTTTCTACTCATTAAGATATTACAAGTATATTAATTTATTCATAATAATCATTGTTGCGAGCAATAGGATAGTTCTCTAGAACGATAATAATGGATTTTTGCCGAAATGTTTTGTAATGATTTCCCACTTTTCACGTGTGTGTGCAATGTCTTTCTTCATATAGATTTTATTCTCTGTGTTGTTATACTATTTTTGGATTACATCTCTGGTGTTTTAAAACTTCGTATTTTCAATTTCAACCCTATAGTTGATTTCACATCTTTCCAATCTATCTATTTCTGGTTAGCGAGTTAGTTTTATATGGGATAGGGTCGTTAACCCCATGACCAACCCTCCTCCTTTATCCGGGCTTGGGACCGGCAGTAGCCCCGGGGTTCCATGTGGAGTTTGATAAGTCTTGTCGATTGAACGCTATATTCGTTTCCTAAGCTATTCTGGTAACCCGCAAGCTAGAACCACATAGCGACCTGAACACCAGAGAGAAGACGCAAAGTATGAGAGAAATATTTTACTGCAAGGTTCGTTTTTGTACAGAGAACATGGGTATTTATAGATGTTAACGTTTGTTAAATCAGCATCATATTTCGGCCAATCCGTTAACGACATATTATGCTACTGACCGATAGTAGCACGCCACGTTGGTATTCTAGAATGCTCCATGATGCTGTGATTGGCCAGGACTCTTTGGCTCCTTTTGGGCCTCTGGAGGCTCCGTTGAAGTTCTCCGAAAGCCGACTCAACAGAGTTAAACTATATTATAAATATAGTAACACAATTCAGCGAAAACAACATTTATTACTGAATAAAATTCATTCAGTTTTGTTCATACGGCTTTATAGAATTCATTTAAAAATAATCATTGTATAACAAATTAATCTATACATTTAATCTTTCTTGGTCTTTAATGACGCCTTACATAAAACAAGTCTACGATGAATACTCTCTACAGCTTAAATAATTCAGTAAACTGTAAAAATTGGTCATTCAAATTTCGTAAGAATGAGAGATATGGAGTGGTACTGAATTCAACTTTTAGTGAAATCAAATTAGTATATATATATATATATATATATATATATATATATATATATATATATATATATATATTCTCATTTACTACCTTAGGTTCTAACTGTTATTTTTCTTTTCTCTATTCGTAAAATATTTGGGTAAGTTACTATCCTTTTCTAATCTGTCTGTTTGTCTAACTAGCATTGTCAATAAAAAAGTTTCACGTTATATTGTTCTGTATCTTAATGATGTATTCTGTGAGCTATATGGTTGAACTGAAGAGGTTTCATTGTTATTCTGGAGAGAATCACCAGCACCTACTTCATCTCTACATATCTAGAACAATAATGAAAGCTACTCAACTCAACCATATTGCACAGAGGACATAAAGACCCAGAGCATCCACTTGATCTAGAAATCTATGTCATTAATACTATGTTATTGATATTGTTCCAGTTCTGCTGGCCAACCAGCGTGGCTTCGTATTCGTCAGTTGTTCGCCAAACGTTTAGTTTTATTGAATTTACTTAATGGAAAACATGGTGGGTATGTTATGTCTAGTCAAAACTACGGCATCTTATCACCACTATCACGTCATGGTTCAGAGTCTCGATGTGGTCTTCTTATTATGAGCTTGGTTTCACTATCACAAGCAAATTTGAAGAGCATCCTTATTGCAAGTATCAGATCGGACTCAGTAAATCCATTAGCCTGTCATGTATTACAAACCATTTCAAATCGTTTAAATCAGTTTACGCGTTGTGCTGAAGGGGACATTCCATGTGCGTATCGTGATGCGCTTATTAGCGAGATGGGTCCAATTATGAAGTAAGTATTATTTTCAGGTAGGTCTTTTTATGTTCTCGTTTCATTAGTTCATAAAGAAGGCAACACATTTTTATATTTATATGATAAAGCGGCTGGTACTTTGGCTTGGTGGTACAACTTTCCCATTATGATGATCCAATCGAGCTACTTTGGTTGCCACATTTGTTCTTTAGGGTATTTATCATGCTTTACATGCCGGCTGAATTTCGGTAAGACCGAAAGCAGTAAGTAAGGTTTGAGGACGAAGTTGTACTATACTGGAGCTTGTTGTTGGTAGAGTGTTTCCCACGGATAATCAGGATCTCTAGCAATGTTTTCATCTCACAACGAAAGAAATGAGTTAGTCAAGTTCGACCCTGAAAATAACACACACCATCCTTTCTCACTGATCGCCAGCACTCGCGGTAAGGTTTGAAAAGTTCGAAGCTGATGTACTGTTAACTAATTGCGAAAAGGCTGTGGGACTGACTTAAATCAGCTATTTTTTGGCTCTGTGGTCACATTCCCAAGTCATCAAGATCACAACCAAATGAGTTTCTTTTCACGTCTTCCAAGGAGAAATACCCTTTGATGTTATATGCAATTGGCAAGTGACAACGGCCCACATAGTCTTCGTGCTCATTTTATGTTAACCGACCGAATTGCTACGATGATAAAAAAAGAACACTCTACCACAAACTAGGGGACGCGAATACTGTTACTGTAATGTCTACTTCGATTTGCTTCGGTGATGACGCGCTTACTATCATTACCATTGTCGTTAGAGCCTCAGGTCAATGATTTACGAATTCACTTCATTTGTTACTCTTTGTGGTCAGCTGACTAGTGTCAATGTCATACATGCTTTTGTTTTACCTTACAACTTACCATACATATTCACGTTCAACATTTCAGTATTCTAAATTTAATTTAATACCATGGTAAACTTAGTAATATGATGACTGACTTATTGATTTCGGGAACTGCTGTTCATTTAAATCATGAAAAGGAAATATGGCAGGAATCCAACTTTGAAGTAGAATTTTCCTATTGATTGATACGGTTAATGATATTTATAAAATTTTGGATTAATCTGAGATTAACACACTATGTCGATTTGTAACAAACGACTGGTTGTACACGCTTATCATGTAACCTATAGTGTTACCGATATAGACTTTTTACAACGTCTACATGAGTTTATCTGTAGACTTATATTTGCCCTTGTCAATTGTTTACATGTAAAACTATCAGTATTTTCTTAATGTTTGCGCGAGTACGTATGTTTATATTTATCTTTAGGTTGATTGGTCAGCATTTGTTATAAAAGATGACTGACGCTCGACTAGCTATCTTTTGGCTATCAGTGGTCCGGTTTCTCACTATATTTGTCTGTTCATTTTTATTGTCTGTCTGCTTGCACATGGAGGAAGATCTGAAATACAATTCCAGTTCAATTTTTTAACCACCAATACCTAACAGAACTAAACGTAGAATTCATATTTCGTGATTCATTCATTTGTTCTTTCATAATATAGTCAATCTGTTGGCACAACTTGCTGGCTTACGCCTGTTGACACAAGTGTACGTAAAAAAGCCGTTAACCTAAAATATACAGCTAATTTATCTTTTTTTTCGAGTCGTATTTTTGGTGCGTAATCTTCCCTGTTACCACTGTTACTACCTCTACTATTCTGGGATTTGGCCTGTGACAACATCTCTCTGTGCCAATTGGATATGGTAACTTGAACCGATATACATACGTACAGGTTCTACGTTGTAACTGACTGACTGATACAGTCAAACCAATGAGAAAAGTTATAGCGCAGATATCAAAAATTGGGTTAAGGGTTAGTGTTATGTTTTAGAATTACGTGCTGTAGTCATCATGAACTGACATCATCTAGAATTCAGGAATCGGTATTCATATTCTTATGCTAATTCATAGCATAATAAATAATCTGTTTATATTTGTTGTTTCGTGATAGGTCAACAGGACTAAGATTTAAAAGCTGTTTTTCTGTATAAATTAGATTAACTTGTAAAGCTTCGTTTAGGAGTTATTTTTTGTCACATATGCTCGTGAATAGTATTTTATTTTAAAACAGAGATGTCTCTTAATTATTGTAACGGATCTGTTGAAATTCATGCTTTAGGTGCGTGATTCGTTTTTATCATTATAAAATAATGCTTAATGAAAATTACAGTTCGCTTCCCAGTCATACTCAGTCGACCAATATTACTACCACTATTGGTAATTCAGAAGATAATGAGTTAACCAACCAATCAGACACATCAAAAACTCGTCCAACATCGTCTATGTCAACTTCATCAACTGCTTTGCAAGTTATCAATAATGGTATGACATTAGCATTACACTATTTAGGCATTCAAAGATTGCATAAATTATGCAAAATTATTTATCCCGTAACTAATGATCCCGATTATACAGAGCAAATGCTGAATAATAATTCTGATGTGCCATGTGATTCTGAAGATAATGTAGATGATGAATCTTTGGAATCTATGATTGCTGAGATTACACCGGCTCAAGCTCTTTCAACCTTCATTAAGTTAGTTAAGGTAATTCAAACTGTGTTATCTTTTGTTATCTTTATTATGATCTTATTATTAACAATCTATGTGGGACAGATCAATTTATTGTTTGATAATTAATATACATTTTATGAGCTGTTGTACTATTTGTGACCTTTCAGTAGCATATTGTTTTCTAATTGAGTTAAACAATAAAACGCTAATTTACCTATATATGCTTTGTTGGAAGTACCGTGGCAACTTGGACCGATACACATATGTACCTGGTCCTACGTTGTAACCGGCTGATATATGCTCTAATTTTGAAATAAATGTTAAGTTTGTAAATAAATGCGCATCACTTCCACTAAATTACGCCATTGAAACTTTTCCAAAGTTTCGAATAACTTACAATTGTTACAAAAGAATCCTGATTAAGCTTGAAAACTCAGTTTTGTGAATAATACAGTCAACCAATGTTTTGTAATGGCCGATATTACATTGGAAAACATTTATTCTAATGAGATTAATGAAAAAATTATAAAATTTCCGATCATAGACATAATTTCTGAATAAAGTTTATTTAATTTATGTAAACTCAGTGCAGATTTCTATACTTATTGCGCTATCTATATGGTTCATCTCCCAAATCCAAGTAATCAGGTCCTCATTGCTATGGCTTCTGTTACAAGCGCATCTTTCCAATCTATTGGTATCTTTACTTACTATGATTAAAGTAGTATGCAAATAACAGCAGTAATATTTATATTTATTCATTAAAAATCATTATACATATCTTACTTCCTTGTTATTTCGAAAACGTTTACCAGTGTAGACAAAAGTGTAACACTGTTAAATCATTTTTTAAGGCGACTCTAAAAAAGCCGTTTCACATTCTCATAGTAATACATACCGAATCTCTAATAAAAAGACAGAAAATATCGCTAGACACATATCCATAATCATTATCATTCTGTTCAGATAAAGAAATAAATCCATACTAGCTTAGAAAAATGAGTATACACTCCACTTACAGATTTGTCTATCAGAAATCATTACTGCAATGCGCGCAGTACTTCTCCGTTGTTTGATCGTACTAAACAGACAAGACGACTAATCCACTCGCCATAACTTTTCCTTAGTTGGTGGTAGAAGTATGTGGCACCCCGTAAAGACGTCGTCATCAGACTCTTCACTTGGCTCTGGGGTTTTAGAGACTACATTTATTTCAGTGTTTACCATGTCGATTTTATCGTGGCCGCTGTCGGAGATCGACGCATCTAGAGCCTACATTCGGGACATTTACATTATTGTTCGGTCCATCTTGCTCGTCAGTCGTTGGCACGACAATACTCGAGCTTTAGGGGGACTCGTAGGGTTGAATGGATATTAAGAGTACATCGGAACTAGGGGACCAGGGTCAACGGGCATAGGCATACAATCGGACATCAGATGTATAAATATGTTAAGAGTCGGTCAGAATGGTTGGTGAATAATATTTCATCACGTCCGTTCGCGGCGGTTGCGAATCGCAAAATCTATCTGAAACGTTTTGCAGCATGTTACTGCCGTGCAAGTAGACACTAGACAATACCCTCATTCTTTTGCACGGACTTATGTGGTTTGCAGTATAATTATATTGTATCGCGTACGCATTCAAATGCATTATTAAACCGTAAACAACAGTCACATATCACGAAGTTCGTGCGGACGTTATAACTTCCAACCATACATAGTGGTGTGAAGTATAACTTAAATCGGAGGTGCTCTGTTCTACACTGTCAATGTTGGATATTTACTAATATTCCCATATGATCGTGTGATCTTATACTTTATTTAAAAACTCACTCATCAAATGTTTTCTGTTATTTGATAACTTTGTTGTACTAATTCACAATTAATGACGTGTGCATTAGTAGCTCATTCACAAATTGTCATTTTTTTCACGTAGTTGAATAATCTTGTTTGGTATGATGCATAGCTTTTCTTAGAATATTTATAAGTGCTTACTGTTTTCTTTTCACGAAAATTCTCTTGTAATAATTTTAAATTGTTTTTAACTTTAATACAGTTTTGGATGTGGTATGATTTTGTGAAGCTTTAGGTCAGTGAATTAGGTTTTCGAATTTCAACTGTTAGGTCGCAGGTGCAAACCCTTCCCCAACTACCTCAATTTGAATAACTGAATAGTCTGGCTGACCTTTTTACTAGGAGAGTAACTCTATGCTAAGTACGCCAATCTGTATTTCGGTAAATTAGCTGAAAAATAATTTATTCTGTTTTATTTATTCTCTAGTCATGGGTAACCAAAGTCTTAAATCCAGCCGGTGCTGCTAATTCGTCAACGCAAAAGTTAACTGCTGTTAATTTTCCTCATGCTAAAGATCTAGTTATTTTATTACCATTACTTGTCAAATTATGCCGTGCTCGTGCTTCCATAGGTTCTGAAGTAACAATTCCAGATGTGAATAAAATCAATCCATATTCAGGTTTATCTCGTGTTTTAGCCTGGCTTTTACGATTAATGCGTGCTCCAATTCCATTACGTGGTTCGTCAGAAATAAATAGTACAAATGTTCTTGCCACATCAGCACGTGTTCAATTAATTAATCAAGCTATTTGGTTGGCTCATCTTATCGGTTCAAATTCCTTGCCTCATAATCCACAAACTCCAGATGCTGAATTAGCATTGGATGATTTGATTCTTGCATTATCTAGTGATTTGACCACTGTTCTGGGTAATGTGGCCGGTGTAAAGGTTTGTGTATTTACTTTTAAAAAGTTGTCCGTGATTTATTTTCAATGTTTTTGGCTTATATTTATCGAAGGAAACTGATTTTCCATATATATATATATATATATATATATATATGATTAGTGTGAAGGCTGGTGATATTACCCTGTTACCCAATTCTAATTCGGCGGAGCGGAGTGGAGTTCGAGTCTGGGACTTTGATACCGTGCACTAATCAAAGACTGGCCAAGTGAATAAGCGTATCCAATTGGTAACAGTGCTTTGACTTCATTGTGGACGACGAAATATAAGTTCTTCAACTTGTACATTAAAGTCAGGCTAACCTCATTAGGTGACGTTAGTAATAAAAGCCAAATGCAAATTAAGTTGAAAGAATTCGTTTCAGAAAGATCATAGTAAGTGCAGCATGAAGAGAAGTTTCGCAACCTACTCAGTTTTATCGGACGTGATTCAACAATAATCATTGAACAGACTACAGCAAGGTAAATGCAGGTAACGAATATGCGTGTTCATATGAAAACACATTCCTATAAAAGTGAATAATTGAAAAGGGCTATATTTTTTCATCAGTGTGGTATGTCACATTCCCTTGAAAGGAAAGCCAAATCGTGGCCGATCGCCTATGTTTATCTATTTAGGTGATATCTAATTGGCCCATTGTATCACATTTCTCTCCTAAACAAAACTGAGAGTGGGCGAGTGGTACACCATATATATATGTTCACGGAATTTCATTGTATTAAACCTTATTATCGTCTATGTTTTAAGTAATAGAAATGCTTTATGTCACCTAATTAATTGGCATTAACATAATTTGTCATTCAGTGTAATGATTATCTTTTTTGATCACATGAAATGTGTTGTTGTACTCAGCATTGACAGTCTGCTCAAATTCTATTCAAACTATTTGTAAATTACAATAGGAAAAAGAGAATTCAGCGAAGAAAATTTTCTTTTCGACGAAATCATTTACTTAAGCTGTACATTCGTATATATAGTTATATGGAAAATGTATGTCTATAGAAGGATAGAAAGGATTGTATCACGAAAAATGGATTCGACAATAAATAACAAATGAGGTTAACGTACTAATCAAGGGGTAAGGAAGAACAAAATTTAAGGGTCAGATGATAGTCCAATTGACAGATTGACAGATATGAAGAAAAACGACAAAACAACAAAGGTCATAATAATAAACTGAATGATAATCAAGAAAACTTGTAAAAGGTAATAATAATAAATGATTAAAGTTTAAAGTGCAAAATAGTAATTTAAAAATATGGATAATAATAAAAGTACATTAGAAAAAAAAACACCTAGCAACATACCCATTAGGGCCAAGGAAGGATAAGAGGTTGGACAAATCGTTTCTGCACACAAAGTTCAGGCTTCAGTTTGTGGATTGCCAATGCCTCTGCGGTGCATAAAATATTGATTCGAACCCCCTTCGATCCAGTTCCTTTGACTCTGTAAACTATTTTAAACGAAGAGTCTTTTGGAGCGATATGTCCACAGTTGATTAAGTGCTCCTGTATAGAACTCGTGATTGTTTTTCGCTCTCCTTTCAAAAGCCAAGCCGGATAATGTTCCGAGATGCGTTTGGATAATGATCGCTTTGTGCGGCCTATGTAACGTGCCCCACATGAGCAAGTAAATTTATAGATACACATTGAAGTGGCCCAAAGCCAAAGTGGCTTCGTTCTTGTGATATACGAAGCAAAATATTGAGGTAATCCGTTCAAAATAGACAACAGGGATGAATAATTTGCAGTCTTTAGTACATTAACAATAGGAAACCACGAATCCTTTATTAATAAATTCATAGCTATTGAAGAATTTAGTAGTTTTATGGATCCCAGTGTTCAGTAGATGTCAGAGAGTCTGTGTTTGAAGCGTAAAGCACTACGTTAGTGACTCAGTGTAAACATCAACATGGATTTTTCAGGTACATCCAACTTTTTAGTCCCAAATAGAATAAAACAAACGTCATGTGCTCAACTGGCTGGTCACATATATAGTATATTCTAAATTTGTTAAAATGAATGTTATCTGATAAATAATACGTAATGGTACAATATGAACAACTGTTCACAAAACTAAATTAGCGATCCAAATAGCTAAATAAACTAATATAAATAGATGATATGACTGTTAGATTTCCTCTTTTTATTCAGTAAATGAACTTGCTGTTGTACAAAACACTAAACACGACAAGTTATTACATAATGATGATACTGGTTTCGTAGGTCAATATAGTTTGCATCGGATCCTTATGAATAAGCTTTAATCTTTCTCTTCTTATCATCTTGTATTCCTGAACTCATCACAAATTGTGAGATGTAGTTAAATGTTTATTGAGTTGTTAAATCATAATACAATCAGTGTTATTACAAGTTAAACAATGTAACTTCTGTTACTTTTTATCGACCAGTGAATGTACACATCATAGTATCAAGCGATAGTTAGCTACTATTTGGGTTAGCTTATAATTCTCACTGAAAGTGAATGTATTTGTCTGTTTTAATTATATAATCATTGGTGCAGAAACATCATTTAGTGCTAAGTTAGGATAAAAGCTATTTAAAAGGAGTTTTAATATATTATCCTTCAATTTCTTAACACATAATTAGTTTATCTTGTTTGCTTGTTTTGTTTTCTTTTTTAGGATATTAGTTTAGTACCAGATGATAAAGAATTAACAGTCACTTATCCTCTGGTTACTCGTTCTTCTGCTCTATCTATTTTACCACTGATTTATTCTTCTATAAAACATTCAATTCATGAATATGAGTGGTTTTTAACAAATATTTCTATTGATTGTGCTGGTCGTTTAGATATGAATGATGGGAAAGGTAAGTTTTTTTAGTCGAAAAAGGTCTACATTGCTGTGTTTTTTGTTATATATATATTTACAAGTGTTTGTATTTTTTTCTTTTTTATGAATGGTATGGTTCAGGACTAGATTTGATCAATCTGTTTCGGGCATATGTATGTATTTGCTTACTGTTCACACTCAACCGTCCCACATTCTAGCTGTATATACCATGTAATCTGTGGTGTAGAAACCTTGTAATACCAATGATAGTATTGTTATGACAACCTGTCAATCCAGCATATTACATGTTTGATGATATTTATAAAATATTCAAAACCTTCTGTGTATCCATAGCTAATCTTGAGCAAAGGAGAACACCGGGGCCCAATTGATTGACTTCTCTAATCTTTAAGGATATTTTGAGCCAGTTTTAGCAGTTGGATTGATGTACTTTTGTTCACTCATAGGGTTGTCTTTTTTAAGTGAAAAATGTTTTTATCACATCTTTACTTCTTCACTTTTTTATTTAAGGATCTAAAGATATTGAAAATAAATTAGATGGAAATGAAAAAGAAGAATCATTTTGTTTACGTTTAATTGGTCTTGGAGAAATTTTAGCTCAACTATTACAAACTGCATTACCAGCCCCAAGTGCTCATGTAGACACATTATTGGAAATTGGAGCTTCAGTGTTCAATTTACTTAGCCGTTTAACAAAATATGTTAGTTTCTTTTTTTCTTCTGCTTTTGTGCATGTTTGTTTTTTATGTTTACAATATATGTCTAATGTATATTTTTTGTCAGTTAGTCATAAGTACTATGGAGCCTGGCATAAATATGTATCAGGTCAAGTTGTCTTACTACAATCAACACAGCGATATAAAACTATCAAGATAAGTACTAGAGGAGTGCAAGTAGTAACGGTATCGATGATAGTAAAAAGAATTCAGCAACGAAAATATAATTTAGGAAGGAAAACTGAATTTACAGAACCAAAATAAATAGGTATTTTAAGAAAAAAATGTGAATGTATCCGTGACATTGCGACCAATTTCGGGAAATGTTATTCAGCATCTTCAAACCAGTGGTAACAATAACGTCAACTTAGTAGTCTACATCTACTTACTTCCATAAATTCAACAGTTAATTAATTTATAGATTGATCCTATATCGTGATTTGGCTACTTATTTTTCTTTGTCAGAGTATTCTCAGTGTTAAGTTTGACTTGTTGTTCAGAATTATCTAGCTTCTTCAGTAAATCATAAGTATATATATATATTACTTGAATCAAATCATATATTATGGCAATAGGTTTGTTTATTCACTTTGTTCTAATTAGTATTTACGAATTGTCCGACTGAGATATGGTCGCTTCCCAGTAATTTTTGAACGATTAGTTCGTGTTTACGGTAGAGAAGTTGCTCCACGTGCATATGTATTATTTTCTTATATACAGGTAAACAATTTATTTCGTATGTAAATTCGACTATTATTATTATTATTATTAATGGCTTTATTCAATATTATATTTTGGTACAATAAAGAATTCTCAGCACAGGGGATTTCAACAAGTTACTTACGCAACAACAAAAAAACAGTAACAAATACAAAAATAAAAAAGGTTTTTAAAAAAAAACCGAAAAACTGTACAACTTTTAAAATTAGAGACATGTTAAGAATGCAGGTTATTGACGCTAGGTTAACTCTAACAACCTGTTCGTCACAGAGTGTATTTGCTAGGTAAGGTATTATAGAACTTTTATACTTTTGCTTGCGTGCATGGATTTTAATGTAATTACGTCTCGTTCTACCAGAAGATATACAAGGAGAAAGATAAGAGTGAAGGGGATGTTTAGTATCTGATAAAATAACACCTGCCAGGAGTTTGCATGACTTTAGATGTCTATCCACAACCATGTTAATTATGACCTCGAAAGATCCACTACACATCTTGCTAACTGCCTTCAGCACTCTCCGTAATACAGTAAGGTCTTTTCCCAAAAGCCCGGGAAAGAATAATGGAGAACAGTAAAGAATAATAGGTAATATGCTAGAATTGACAAATTGTAAGAGTAAATGACGAGTAATCCCAAGAGCATGCAATCTCTTTATGTAGTAAGTCAGACGGAAAACCTTCTTCGATAACAATAAAACGTGGGAAGACCAAGAGAGATCAGAGGAAAGGGTGACACCAAGATAATTGACCTTCGACACTGTGTTTATCAAAGAGTCTCCAATGGCACAAGCATTATGGGATCTCAAAATGGTGTTTAGGTTCCGTTCATGTCTCATGCCAAAGTTAACAGCTTGACATTTAGACGGATTAAGTAAGAGACTATTACCAACAGATCAACAATCGATACGAGACAAGAAGTCATTCATTTCTATGGGATGTGAAGAGGAAGAGATAGGCATACATACAGTGAACACTTTCCTCCGAATACAGTGTACTGTTCCCTTCCAGAGAGGTAGGAACATAGCCAGTTGGTTATCCAGCTGTCATTGATGACGCTGACTAACTTGTTAATTAAACATTGTCTTGGTATAGAACCAAAAGCTGAAGTATAGTCCAGAAAAGCGCATCGAACATACTTCTTACGCTTTTCTATGTTGAACACTATATAGTGTAGATTCTTAGCACCAATGAATTTAGTATTTTACGCAACCATCATCCAACGCTAGTTGTGGGTGATTGCTTCGCATGTTACATGATTAAAGTCCACTGGTAACTGCTTCTCACTAGAACTCCGGAAATTATATTTTAGAATTATTCACCAGTATACGTATGTCTCGATCTTATTTTATTTATTTATTTTGATACATAAATATTGGTACAAGGAGGCACCAAATACACACGCGCTACACAAATCTCATTTGATATGTGTGAGGGATGTGCTACTTCCCGGGTGCCCAAACCGAAGCAGGTGGTTTTCTTAGGGGGCCACACCCGGAGCCTTCGACCTGAAGGTCTGATCCACAAGGCAGTGGGGCGTCGTGAGGAGATGCAGTCCCATGGAAGCCGGTGACCAACGATTGGTTCATACGCCATTTGTTACCTCAGGATACTGTCGCCCATGTGCACCATTGGTTGGGAGTCAGTGTTTTCCAACTCCCCTAGGTGGACTCTCCATGTCCACCTCTCGATCTTATACTTCGTTCTCATTTTTGCACTGAACATTTTGGTGATTGAAGTGTTCAACTTTTGCCCACCAGGTTGTAGCTTCAAATCCCACCTCACCTTCACTTTTCACAACTGAATATTATCACTGACTCTCACATTTACAAAGCTAAGTATGTGAATATGTACCTGGTAAAAGAATTATTCACTCTTTTGTAAATCCCTTCTCTGAATACATTTATGTATACCACCCAGTATTGTGCAAGTAGTTTATGGTACGAATTGATACTAGTTAGAGGATACTTTTGAGAAAATTACAAGAGCATTGAACTTTTATTTTGTTTCAAAACTGGAACTCTTCTCTTTTACTTGTGTCTCAGAGACAAGGTTTTCTATTCCTGTTATGCACTATCTTAGGTCTTGTATATTTCCAATTTATATCTTAAAAACATGTTACTACTCTATTTTCATACTTTAAATCAGCATTCTCATCTTATTATAAAATTCTTAAGAACAATATGTGCGCAAACTGCAGTGGAAGAGGGTTTTTTTACAATAGATTTAAACGGATGTGAATATATTTACGCCTAAAATTTGCATTAAAATTCCTCGGAAAACGAAATTAGTACTTTTGGCATAAACATCGATGTAATTGGAAATTGATATTTTTAGTGTATCACTTCCATAATCAATATACTCAAATAACTATTTGAGGTGTGAGGCAATCATTACCAAAGGCGATGAGTGATGGTCAGGTAATATCACGAATCGATTGAAGTTGCTCACGTACTGCATTCTGCCTCAGTAGGTTAAGTGCACGCTATGAGTTCTGAAGTTTTTAGGTTCATTCCTCAGTGACGTCGTGGTCGGGCAGTCCTGAGGAGGAGTCCCACATCAGGACAAAACAGTTGTCCGGTGTATGGTTCTTTATGGTTATCTAACTAAAATCTATCTGTGGTATGAACTCTGAAATAACTTAGCTGTTTATTGTTTTTTTTCTTGAGAAATTTAGAATTCAGAAAGTGAAAAGATTAAAGGTTTTCAAGAAAACAAGAATTTGAAAAAGAAGTCAAACGAGAAGAATGACTGTGAACCGAAAAAGTCAAAGTCTACTGGTGGAATTTCTCAGGCATTAGTGAGTTAGTCATATCGGAGATAATATTTTACTTGTAAAGTCACTGTTCTGAAGTTGTTTTGTATTTTTAGTCTGTTATTTCCTAATATGTAAATAAATAGTGTATCTGCCTTGATTGATGATTGACTACGCTTTTCCAATTTATTTATTGTTTTTAACAGGTCTGTCAGTTTCGACTGTCATAATTATGAGTATGAAAATAGTATTGTAAAGAACTAACTAATATTAAACAATATATTCGTTGATAGGACACACATATCTGCATCATATACAACCAATTCCGGATCTCTTTATTTACGATTCTCTGAACGTTACGAAACATTTAAGTTTTAGAGTCAGTCGATTAATTCCTTTAACTGCCATACATAGTGGTCAAGCCTCTTCTAGCTTGTTTAGAGCCTAGTAATGTTATAGCACAATAGTAATTTAGCATGCATAACTCATATCTTATTTACTTCAGTTAATGGAAGTTTACCATCTAGAAATGTAATTAACATCATCTATCGTTTATTGATATTGAACGATATTCATCGAGTTTACAAGTTGGAAGTAAGTGCCCAAGATATGGCATTCTGATTATCAATCGTTCAATTCCATTTATACATATAAGTCATCTTAAACTAAATCGTTTCATTTTCTGTTGTAAAAGTCCTAAATTTATAAGCTGACTTTGATTGAGTCTTACTCAAAAATTAGTACAAATGTCTAAACTACTTGTGAGTAGTTGTTGAGGTTGAATAAAATACCAATCATATATATATATATATATATATATATAACGGTTCTGTGATAATTCATACAATTCCTTCACAAACCATCAAACTAATTCATAACATTTCTTCTTGGTTTACAGATTTCTCGTACTATCAAAGATTCTCGCCTAATTCCACAATTAATATATGCTATTGAACAATATGAACGATTTTTAATGCAATTGTCGAAAAAGTCTAAGGTGAGCATCTTTCTTTTTTATCTCTACTACTATACCGTCCTGCTTCGGTCTAGGCATACGAATACTCTCACAGCCCACACACAAATCAAGTGACTTGTGTAGCACACATGTATTCAGTGCCTCTTTGTACCAATATATTAATGTGTTCAAATAAATAAACAAATAATATAAATTCCTATAACATTGGTGATTAGTTTGTAAAAGTTTTCAGTAATTATTTGAATGGAAATACACCTAACTGTTAGGTCTTTTGTTCTAACTTCACTTCGAAATGTCTATTACAATATTTAAGACACAAGTTTAACTCAAGAGTATGCCTTCTATTTTATGTTTAAGTGACCATTTTCTCATTCTACCGTGACAATATAATCCGTAATTGGTCACATAGGAAGTGAGAACTACCAGTTTGAAAGAATTTTTGTTAGTAAGTGAATCACTAGTCTATCCAAGGCCATTTTGTACATCTCTCTGTCTAAACCCGTCCGGATGCATTGATTATAACTGTAGTTATTTGACCTTTTTTAGTATATTTCTTCAAACACCCTCTATCTTTACATAGTGAATGTTTCTTGTTGTTATGTAGTCCTAGATTTTTTGTTCACTGTCGAAGTACATAAGTGAAGAAGAGGACTGAAGCTTTTTCATGGTCATCGAACTCTGTGCGCTTGAGTAAAATTATAAAATTGAACATATATGGAGAAATGTATAGGTGGTCATTGAATAGTGACTAATATGATATATGTTTAGTTTTTCGTAGTGCTTTCAGTTCGGGATTGAATACGTCAGTTATAACATTTTTGACTATGAGACTAAATAATACGGTCTTGATATCTTGAAACCCATGAATATTTCTAATAGTCATATGCTTTACTAGCTATTTATTAACTGTAAGTGTTGGTGGATCCACCCAGGAGAGTTGGAAAACCCTGATTCCAAACCATTAGTACACATGGGCTTCAGTATCTTAAGGGAAAATATGGTGTATGAACTTATTGTTGGTCACGAGTTACCATGAGACTGCATTTTCTAACGTTGCTCCACTGCCTAGTGGATTAGATCTTTAGGTCAAATTTTCGGCGAGTAGCCTCCCCTAAAATCCTTCTGTTTCCGTTCAAGTATCCGGGCAGTATCCCAGCCCTCACACAACTTGAATGATGAAGTGTAGCGCATATATATTTGGTGCCTTCTTGTAACAATGTTTGTCTTTAAATAAATAAATAAATGGAAATCTTCGTATTTAATAAGGTTAGAATAATTCAAAACACTTATTAATTATTCTTCCATCTATTTCATTTAAGATTCTTATTAAAAACTGATAATAGTAATAGTTTTCCAAAACATTTCATAAAACTTACTTAAAAATGTTTCTTTTGTTGTTAATGTGAAAAATGTACACAAAAAAGAATACAGTCTTATCCTTTATTCTAATTCTCACTGTTTAAATTATTAATTTGCATTACTGTTACTGTTGTTTATCGGATGAATGAATGAATCTGTAAGCTGTTATGTATGTTAATTATTAGTTGTCTAGACACTTAATTTTCCCATTCAAATTCTACCATTTTTTTTTGTTTTTCTGTATTTTTCAATTTACATTTTACATTTTAAAATAATACATAAATATTTCATGTTAGTGATAAAGTGATTTACATATGATTTCAGGGTTTTATTGAACTGTTTTGACATAATTGTGTGTGTGTGCGTGTGTGTTTAGCCTTACATTATCATGCCATACTAACGGTTATTGTGAAGCATTTCACTAAAGTTACAGTTTTGGTGATTCTTCTTAATTTTTTCCTTTTTGTTTGAGTTTCTTTGACAAATATTTTAATTAAGTTGAAGTTTTGCGAAGATTGGCTTTATTTGTTACAGATTGATCTGATTTGGTTGTGCCTTTGTAAATTAGGAGAGTGTATATTGATGAGATCAATGTTTAATGAATTCCACCCTGTAAAGTATTTGGATTGGTTAGCTTTTAAACTCTAATCGTTTCATTCTCAGAGTAAAAATTTCACATTACATTGGAGAGTATAGTTAATTACTCATTAGTTTATTATAATATGTGAAGTCAATAACTGTTCATTACTTGGCTTTTAGGAATAATACACAGTAGTATAAGGAACAATTTTATACGTTCCAATTATTATCTGGTTATTTTATTTGTTGGACGAATATTTGATAAGTTTTCGATTAACTACTATGATATTCACAGGTTGTATTCTTCACGGTTTGATCTCAGTTGCGGTATCATTAATAACTGAGGGTCAGTGGACATACACGACCACACCAATAGTCGAACTCAGGGCATTCTTATTTTTCATCAAACTCCTAACCATATGACTACTGGGTTGACATTTTATGGTATAAACATTTCCAACTTCAGTGAACTCACGATATAGTATGATGTCATTGTCTTTGGGAGATGTTCATTCATTTGTTGGTTAAGTTGCGTGATAGTAATTTGATGTGTAATTACTTTATTTAGTCCAGTGCATAATCCTAGTAGTAGTTCATGAACTCTCTCGATGTCAAGTTTCATTTTTTTATTTTCTAGATTAATCTTATGCGTAATGTCAAATTGAGTACAGCACGAGATTTTCGTATTAATCAAGCTGCAGTGATTGCCAGTTTAGAACAATCTACTGCTTTGAGTCTTAGTAGTCTTAGTGATAACAGTGAACCCGATGAAGATACTGAGAATTTAAACAATGACGTTATAAATGCTAATGATCCGACTGAGAGAGAAGAGGAAGATACCAATCGTAGGAGTGATAGTGATAATGATGACGATAAGCAGCACCGTAGTAGCCATTATCAAGATGATAATCATGTTTCTGGTGATGAAAATAATGTGTGTGACGATATCGATTCACATAATGTAATGCATACTAATGATATAGATGAAAATGTAGAAAACATTTCATCGAATCACCTATCTAAATCACGTACTACTGTAACACCTGCTTGGGGTCGTGTAAGTTAATGTTTTATTTTGCTTTCAATTTGTCGTTATATACTTTTCATAAAACTTATAGAAACGTTAATATTGTAACTCAATGTTTCATTGTATTTCAAAATAATATAATGTTATTCCATGATAATCGGATTCTGTCTACCAAGGAATGCGAATACTTATAGTATCCAATTCTTCGTAATCTTCAAATGCACTAAGATTATATAGACTTGTTAATTAAGTACACCTGTTTTTCAAATTACTACTGTTTATCAGGGTTCAGTGCAATTCCGATGCTAAGATCAAAATAAGTGGAATTATGTTTGAACTTGCTACGTATATGCTGAATGTGGAGTACTTTGATGTTTAAATATTAACCTCAAGTTCTCCTACGAAATTCCTGGAAACATTTGGCGTAATCTAGATTATGTTGTTTTGTGTTACCTCCTCGCTGTATCGTATTCTTTGATTGCTAATATCAAATCATTATCAAGAGACACAATATCATTATAGCTAACATCTAGTGTATTTTGAGATTCCTTAGTGAGAAATGTTGTGGTTATGTATGGGATACTAAACAGATGTGTCAAAACAGTTAATATCGTAGTGTTTTCTCATCAGCTGACCTTTTCTTTGACATTTATTAAGTATGCTTATACACTTTGTACATTGACTCACAGTACTAGTCTCCGAATCGTGAAGTAAAATGATTCCATAACATCATAGACTTTGGTTTGAGCCATTTTGATATATGTAAAGTACTCGATTGAGTTCTTTACGATAATCTCAAAAAGATTTGTTAAAGCCATTTGTTGATGTAACTCGGAATCAGTTTCGTTACCACATATTCCTTCACTTCTTCCTCTTAGCTTCTGGTTTTCAATGTTATCCTGAGACTTTTTATTCCATGAGTTAATCCTCTACTCTGAAAAATAGCATTCTGTTTTATTGATTTCATCTGGTCTTTCGTATAGAGATATATCTTGTACATCAATAAAATTCCCAACGTCATATACTTAATTTAGTAACAGTGTTAAAGTGAAATTTCAAATACATTAGTTAGATATTTCAGTGTAGTATTTAGTGTTTTTATTTTTGTTTTGATTGTCACACATATACACAGCAAGAGAGAAAGAAAGAATTAAGTTATTGAAAATCATATGTAATTGAAATACTGATAATAGTATCAATAACAACGAAAGTTTCAAGTTATTTCAAAATGAATAGTTAACATTAATGGGGTAAGTTGTAGTATAATAAATAATAGTAAAACTCACCGTCTCTAGAGAAAGACAAATCGAGGGAATGTAATTGTTGTACAGTTACAATGTATTCTAAGTCATGTCTAAATCCTCTCTGACTATTAGTTACAGTTAGTTCACAGATTTCTGACTATGTTGGTCTAGATTTTACAATAGTTATGAGCTAATATTGTATGTAATCTTTGTCTTTTATCTACTGTTTTGCTAACTATCAAAGCTTTTCAGGTATTAGTCATTACTGGATTCTTTTTAAATTTCATTATTATGGACGACGAAACCAAAACATAACATCAATAAATTTAATCATTGACTGTTGGACTGTTGGTGAGTGAACACTAACGGGTTAAGGTCCACACGATTATCGCAACCAATGGTTACAGATTTTGAATGACATGTCTCAGGATCAGTCTCAATGGGGCAGATGCATTCACCTTTTTATCTTCTCGTAGATCCTACGTTTCGAAATTGACAGCGAATCTACCCCTCCTTCTCGAATCATATTGTCTTCACCTAATCTTATACTGATACTGCTACTACTTATCACTGCCTCGAGATTGGTCTCCATAATTTTATCTCTTTGCTTTGATATATTATTGCGAACTGTATCGATGCACATCTGTACTGGATTCTTTTTTGCTTATGACTGGTTCTTTCCCATACAAAATTTTTTTCTCAACTAAAACTTCGTCTTGTAATGGTTTTTTTCATATTTAAATTTTGTTTCTTCATTTCACATTGTAGCAGATCAATCCAGTATCACAACGTAGATCAGCATTGAAAAGATCATTGCAATCAATTAATAATAATAATAGCAATAGTAATGATAATAATAATAATAACCAGTCAACATGTGATGCGAAAGCGAAAAAGCCAAAACTCTGAACATATATCTTTTTGGAAATGTCGTTTGTTAAAGAAACTACGAAATAGACAAGATTTTTAATTCTATTTATTGTATGGGTTTTAGATTTTTTGTGTGTTTTTCTTCTTATCATTGAGATTTATAAAGAAATATACGTTTTTATTTCTTTGAGTTGGTTTTAATGAGTCATGTGTATTTTAAACCAAATGAAATTGTCTACTGAAGTAAATAGTAATATAAAGAAATTGATGAGATTGCTGTGAATCGTTTGATCATTTTCAGATCGGCATTATTGTTTACCCCCCCTCCGAAATGCCTTGGTACGGTTGACGGTGGGGAGATCCCGATCTTCCTCTCGAAATGTTCCCATATATCCACATGTATATAGTCACTTTCTGGGAGGTCATACTTATTGGCTTCTTGCAGTGGGGATGTTCACGAAATTGCGAGGATGAAAAGCGAATTGTCGGCGCTAATCAACCTAGGAGAGTCGGAAAATCCTGACTCCAAACTAATAGTCCATATGACTTTCAGTATCTTTAGTGAAAAAATATCGTATGCATCTGTTTTTTTTATCAGCGAATACGACTAGACCTCATCTCCTAACATTGCACCACTGTCTCGTGGATTAGACCTCTAGGGCGAGACTACAATTTATAGACGACCTTTGAGCGACGCTAAAGTGATCTTGAGAGTGTAGACCTAGTAGCTAGGATTGAATAAGGGTTATAAACTAGTGTGAGGGATTAGAATTGTGATTTACAGTTGATGGATAAGGTTAGAAATTAGATTTAGGGTTTTCATCATGAACTGACTTCAGTTGAAATGCCAAAACTATATCTACCCAAATGGATGAGTGAATTTCGCCCCAAAATCGGAGACCTATTATCTTATACCTAATTGGTTCATCCATAAATTTTAGTGTCGCCGATCTCGAGGCCACAGGGTCGGGAAGTTGCCCTGTAAAAGAACAACTTGCTCTAGTTTGGTCATCCGGCCAGTATTCTGGCCCACATACAAATTTATGATAACTACTTCTTATACATTTAATGACTGTTCGTTTTTTGAAACAGAAGAATTTTAGTTAGACGTGTGGTGATAATTGATGCATTTGTAAGTTTACGCGTTTATTATCCCATGTTATAATTCACTTTACTGGTATTCAGGCTAAATCATCTTATGCAAACGTAAAATAAGCTAACCAATATGAACTTATTAAAGCTGCAACTCAATGATTATCTCTTGAACTCAATTATCATTTGATCTAGGAATGTTTTACATCATTGTTATCAATTAGTTTCACAGTGTATATTTTAATAATTTATTTGGAATGACTTCGTTAGGTTGTAAAAGAAGTAGCTTCAGTTGTATGAAACCTACTGTATGACCCGGATCGATAGTGTTGATTTTTAACTTATCAGGGAATGTAGCTAACAAAAAGTGACGACTGTTAAGGCCTCAATTGATTATAATAAAACCGACCATCACTCCCATGCCCTAAGTAATGTCATCAGTCTAATTAGTGTTTCTCCACAACCTTTTTATATGATTTCAATTTTAACTGTCAGGTTATGTTTTCTAGTGGTCTCCTAAGAAAACCACCTGCTTCGTTTTGGGCACCCGGGCAGTATCCCAGCCCTCATATAAATCGAGAGATTTTTGTGGCGCATATCTATTTGGTGCCTTCTTGTACCATTGTTTGTATGTTTAAATAAATAAATACACTCGTCTACATGTGCGCTCATTCTCTTCCCATCTAACTCGTTTGCGGTATATTGCTTCATATTACTTGTTGATATGCAGTAGACAGTTCTATTTCTAATAATTTCTAAACTTATGGTGTGACTCAAGTTTGTGATTTGTAATATCCTAAAGTATTTACATAAACTTGTAGCATCTATATTTTAACTGTTGTAACAGCTATTCCCAGTCTTACACATTCCTTTAATCTTTGTTTACATGCATCTGTTTCCATATCTGTGTGTTTTTAATATCCATTTTGGTGGTTGATGAACTGTTGTTAACATTAGACACACCTATCAACTGTCATTTACAGTCATATTTTGTGATTAACTTCTATGTTAATAATACAAGGAGTCTTTCTCCTTCCAGACATAAGGATATGGTAGTCGCCGCAGATACCTAGCTAGTTGACGTTTGTAATCATTCTATATATGCTCCTTAATAACAGAACTATTCTTCATACAAATCGTTGTTTGCTCAACTTTGGTTTCGCCCGTATCTTGATCACGTATTTGGACGCTTCGATAGAATTAAAACCTCCCCACTTATTAATTGGATTTAAATAATAATAGGCTCAAATTCATAATGTTTACAATAACATTTATTGTTGACGACAAAATTGTGTATTTTATGTTCATAACTATGTTGTGAAAACATAAGCTATAAAACTCAGGTCTAGATATCCTAGTACCCACAATATTATCATACGAATTTGCAAATCTGGGAAATTTCGGTCAAACATAACAGTGCCAATAGTTTTATTCTTTCAAATATAAAAATTAGTCTCGTTTTTGATTTAGTTTTGTTCTACTAAAACTAATTAAAATAAATTCAAAAATGTGTACAATAAAAATCCATTTGAAAAATCCAAACTTAAAGTGATCGCTGTTTTTAAGTTATTCTAAAAAGTCTTCAACTGTAAAACGTCACTAACACCATGTCTCCAATTGTAGAATGCGATCCGATGAGTAATTGTATGTGTCTCTAGTACTTTTAAAACCATGAGTCTGTGATTTTGCATAGCTACATGCTTCTAGACTATTCTACTGTGCAACACTATCGTGTTGTTTTAGTAAAAATAGATCGAAAGTAATGAAAAAATCCGTGTTACTTTCCAGCTTCCAGTTAAGTTAATGTAGTATGTAGAATACCCAAGTTCGAACCGGGTGTTATCTATACCGGTATGAATAGCCGACTAACATAAACATTCCTTATACAAGAAATGTATAATTGAATGATGAATGAATGTATTTGATAAATCAGTTGCATAAGTGGAACCAGTCATTCATATTTTTCTCTCTATTTGTCTTTATCTTTTCCTGTCAGAAAAAGTGAAATATTCTACTATGATTTATGTATAACAAATTATTTTGATCATCTATTTATGCAATAACAAAAATATTTACCTGTCATTTGAAAAAAATAACAATAATTAGTCACTATATTAAGTGATTGGATTCTTCACACACACACACACATTCTCCTACGATCGTACTAGTAAGTATGAACATCAAGTTGAATCGCTCAATGGTGAACGTATATTAACCACAACAGCTAATTGTTTCGTATTTAATCTTAGACTATTCAATTTCATCAGTTCTCTTGTTTTAATAATTTTTCTTGTTTTTTTTTTCAATTTACAATAATGGATATTCATTTTAACTTAAATCTATTCCCTACCTCTCCCCACCCCCACTCAACTACTCCATAGAAAATTGTAACTAACTAATATCGAATTTATTAAGCGTATAAAACTATCAATTAATACGTCAATGTGGGTATATCAATTCATCGTGTAAATAGATGGTACTTTCGTTTCTACATAATTGATTAATTTCCATGATAATTATGATTAATTTATTTGCTTCTTTTTTTTTGTTTTTAATTATTAGTTGAAATTTGTTTTGTGTTTTTTTTTTAATGGAAGAAAATATTCTAATCATACATAATAAAAACACAACTTTATCAATAATGAAGCGTGTTTCCTATTTCATATTTTATTGATACTAGTAATAGATATTGGTAGTATGGAGAGAACACAGAGGGAAATAGAGAGCCCTAGTGAATAGTTATTTTGTTATTATTATCATTATTATTCAATATTTCTATAAGAATATTCACTGACAACTTCATATACGATCATTTAGGATTCAAGTCTTATAGCTAGTAAAGTGGTTTTGAAAAATTACTTAGTTGGAATTCAGTGAATTATATTTATCAGTTTGAGTAATATGGATTATTAGTGGAGTAGAAAATTTACTAATCAATAAAATGTGTTTATTTGTGGTAAATTGTGGTACTGTTTAACACACTTACTTACTTACACCTGTTACTCCTTGTGAAGGAGCATAGGCCGCTCACTAGCATCCTCCATCCAACCCTGTCCTGGGCAATCCTTTCCAGCTACTTCCAGTTGTTATTCATCTTTTTCATATCTGCTTCTATTTCCCGAAGTATTGTGTTCTTTGGCCTTCCCCTTTTTCGCTTCCCTTTATGATTCCAAGTTAGGGTTTGCCTTGTGATGCAGTTTGACGATTTGCGTAATGTATGTCCTATCTATTTCCATCGTCTTTTCCTAATTTCCTCTTCAGTAGGAACCTGGTTTGTTCTCTCCCACAGAAGGCTGTTGCTGATGGTATCCGGCTAATGGATGTTGAGTATCTTGCGTAGACAGATATTTATAAATATTTGTACTTTCTTGATTGTGGTTGTTGTAGTTCTCCAAGTTTCAGCTCCATACAATAGAACTGCCTTGACGTTCGTATTGAAGATTCTCACTATGATATTGGTTGAAAGTTGTTTTGAGTTCCACATGTTCTTCAATTTTAGGAATGCAACCCTTGCTTTGCCAATCCTCGCCTTTACATCTGCATCTGAATCTCCTTGTTATTCTATGATGCTTCCCGGGTATGTGAAGAATTCTACATCTTCCAGAGTTTCGCCATCAAAAGTGATTGGATTGCTTTTCTCCGTGTTGTATTTGAAGACCTTGGTTTTCCCCTTGTGTATGTTGAGGCCTACTGATGCAGAAACTGCTGCCACACTGGTTGTCTTTATCTCCATTTGTTCATGTGTATGGGATAGGAGGGCTAGGTCATCTGCGAAGTTTAAATCGTCTAATTGGTTCTGAGCTGTCCATTGTATGCTGTGTTTTCCCTCAGATGTCGAGGTTTTCATAATCCAGTCGACTGTTTCACATGCTTAAATTCAAATATATGTATATCACAATGTTCGTAGACGGATAGGATGGAATTACTTAGAAATCTTGAATTTCGGTCTGCTGTTACTTATGTTGACTAAACTCCGCCTGTAGCTCTTCTGGAGTTACTGCCCGTCTCAAGGCCGGATAAAGGAGGAGGGTTAGGGATGAGGTCGGCAGCCCCATCTACTAAAAAAATCTTGCTGAAGAAGAACGCTAGCAAGAT